ATTAAATGTCAAAATTAAATCAAGTTTTATTTGTTAAAGCCTCATTTCCTCCCATGTCTCACCTCCTCTCCTCTGTCTGATCACAGTATCGTGCACACAGCTAATCCACAGCAGTGTTTACCTCTGTCATATATCATAAGTGTCTCATGTTCAGCTGTCTGTCCTACAGAGGAAGTTAATCTGCTTCTTGTGTGTCTCTGCTCTCCCCTCCAGCTGGCCCCATGGTCAGGCCCTCAGTCTCTCTGCTTCCCCCTCCTCTGAGCAGCTCTCTGGGGGGCTCGGCCACGCTGGCCTGCCTGCTGACCGGCTACTCTCCTCAGGGAGCCGCGGTGAGCTGGGAGGTGGGACGGTACGGAGGTGACAGAGGGGGTCCAGACCAGCTCAGAGGAGGAGAAGAGCGGACGCTACAGCAGCAGCAGCACCCTGAGCCTGAGCCAGGAGCGCTGGATGAAAGGAGAGCTGTACTCCTGCAAGGTCCTTCATCATGACCACAGCCAGACCCAGTCCCTCCACAGGAGCCAGTGTGAGGGCTAGAGGGGCTCCCTGAAGCCCAGGACAGGAGCTCTGTGTGGGGGGAGCAGGAGGAACAAACCTGCTGCTCTGATCAATATGAGTTTTAATGTTTGTAGAGGAAACTAAAGCTTTGTGTGACAGAGAACAACACTGCTGTAAAGTGTTGGACAACAACAACTTAGAGAGTAATGTGTGTAGCTCAGCAGCTAGATGTGAGTGTGCTTAATAACTGTCATGTTGATGATTGATGTTTTTTACTAATAAAGCTTTAACTGATAAATAACTTGTGTGTTTGTTCTGTTGTTTTATGAAGAGTAGAAAGAAATGAAATGGTTTAATAATTGTAACTGATACTCCTCTCTGTGGAACATGACACGCTTTGGATTTATCATGTCCCCCTCTTTTTTCTTTATTTGTAATGAACTTGATATAATACAATACTATGAACAACTAAAGAATACATGTATTTATCATAATTTAAAAAAACGTGAAAAATGCTATTTATTAATATCTGTGACTGTGATGTGTCGCTGGATTTTTGAAAGATGTTTTTTAAGTAGTGTGTGGAAAAATATAATCAATATATTACTATGAATGTGTAGTTTGTGCTTGGTGAGGTTACTGTCAGTTCTGTGTTCAGTGGTCTGTGTCAGAGTCACTGTGTGAACACTGGGCCACTATGGACACTCTGACAGTAATAAACTGCTGCATCTTCAGTCTGAACTCCACTGATGGTCAAAGTGAAGTCAGAGCTGCTTCCACTGCCACTAAACCGAGCTGGTGTTCCTGATTCACGTGTGCTGACATTTCTTATTAGGAGCTTTGGCGATTGTCCAGATTTCTGTTGATACTAGTACATACATTGACCATAAGTACAACTTGGAACAGCTTGACTGGTTTTACAGCTGATAGTGACAGTGGATCCTGGAGTAAATGTCTTTACTGGAGGCTGAGTCACAGTCACCTGACCGCTGCATCCTGCAGACAAAAACAAATCATTAATTTATCAGCAGAAAGAAATGAGAGAAAAGGCAGCACATCATGTTTGAAATGTTGCTGAGTGAATGAACCTGTAAAACAGCAGCAGGCCAGTGTCCAGATGAGGATGGTGATGAGAGTCATGGTGGTTGTGGTTTCTGCTGTGTTGACTGACAGATCTTAATGGATGTACAAGGAAATATTTATATTAGAAGTGCAGTTGAGGATTTAAGGATAAGTTTGTGTCCACTGTGGTTGGTATGATATGTCTGTTTGTCTGTCTATTAATTTACTTACAGGGTTAACTGTAGATAAATAACACATTTTAGTTCAGTTTAATATGAGTTTGTAAAAAACTATTATGAAAAACATCATATTTATTTAACCATTCATCATCTGACATGAAACTGTATAAAAAACTAGAAAATTCCTAAAGAAATTTTGATTGTGCCTTGCTCTGGCCTGTGACTCTGGCCCATACATTACTGACACTGCCGAGTAGTTTACAGTACAATGAGGGGAGACACCCGTGTTTAATTCGGCGTCCGCGTGATCCACTAACAACCACGTATTTTAATGACAAATCTTGTTTTTTCCATCTATTCCCACGGTGTTCTCCCACTGAAATAGTGAGGCTGGTAACGAGTTGATGCGACAAAGTCGGCCAAAAAGTTTGTATTTATGTATTATATTGATTCTGAATTGACCAGAAGACTGTTGAGATATGATTAGTTTTTTTCTTGTGTTTCTACAGTTATGTGCTTTTATGTAAACGCAAATAATTGTTAATATATGGTATTTCTTAAATGGAGTTTGGCATAATATTGTCCTGGGATAATGCAGGAAGCGTCATGGTTTAATTAAAATAGGTAAAGTAACTAAATAAGTAATAACCACAATGATGGGAATAATAAGCATGTAGTTATAACAATAATAATAATAATATCAATAACATGAATAACAATATTTATATTAATAAATAATACATAATTAAGAAAGAAAACTATTCTTAATGTGCAGTCATAGGCAGTGTAGGTTTTTTAAACTTTTAATAAAGTGTCCACCAGACCCCTCTACCTGCTAACATACAATGAATGTTGTAGACTTTTATTTTGAAATACCACCCTCAGCCTGAAAGCAATAGTGCAGTTACGACAGTCTGAGTGTCAAAATAAATCTAACTTGATGTTTTATTATTAAATCTGGATTACTTGTGTCATGTGTAACAAGTTGAAATAGATGGCTAATTAAGATTTTCAGTGTCTTTTGTGACGTTTAATTAGCACAGTAATCCTTTGTCCTCTCTAGCTAGCGAGTGCTAGCACATTAGTAGCTTGTCCTCTCTAGCTAGGAAAGCATTTTAATTAATTAGCCTTCTAATACCTTCTAATTCTCTTTAGCTAGCTAGCTAGAGCTAGCACACATAAACACATTAACCAAAGCTAGCTATGTGCTAATCGCTAGCTAACCACTAGCTTTGGTTAATGTGTTTAATTGTATTATGCTCCTGAAGGAGTGCTAATGTAAATTAAGGAACAGCTCATAGTAGGGTAAAATATTTAAGGTGTATTGTTCTTATTTTGTGTTAATATTAAAATCATTCAGCTTTAAATTGTTTGCTTGTTAGCCGCCTGCTAATTATCTTTAGCTAGCCAGCTAGCTTATTAATGCCTTGTCAGCCTCTGTAACTAGCTGTGTGTGTGTGTGTGTGTGTGTGTGTGTGTGTGTGTGTGTGTGTGTGCCCTTGTTGTCGTGGCAACCAGGGGAGACTTCAGCACTTGAGACTCTTGAGAGAGACAGAAACATTTAAAATGAATCCCCTCGAACCCATGGCCAGGAACGACCGAAATGAAAACTGAAAACACCGTGAGCGTCGTCATCTTGTTGACTATAGCACTGCCGAGTTTCAGTGGTTAAAGTTAAAAAATGTGACCTCAGGAGATTGAGAGAGAAGAGGTTCAACGAGCTCCTTTAAACATTTCTTCTCTAAAATTAACATGGGAGTAGATGGGGCAGTGAGAGGGTGTTGCTGGCGCATCAGTGCGTCTCCCGCCAAAACTGTTTGTCTGACAGCTTCAGCAGTGGTATCACTGCGACCCCAACGAATTTACCTACGTTTCTATCTATAAATTATTTCTATAGAGTGACATTTGTGGCCTTGAGAGCAGTTTACAAATTTATTTTTCGACTAATTTTTTCTCTCTCCCTACACTCTAGCGATGATGTCACGCACTCTGGCAGTTGAACATTCTCGCAGTACACACCCATTCATTTTTTGGACCGGTTTTTGGCGATTTACCGGCAAACTGTTTGGCGAAACGCTTAGAAAAATCATAGCACTAATGTCCTCACCGAGCCGCACGTTCTGATACCTTTTTAGTGTACGTGCGACCAAAACTGCGGGAGGAGTAGCGCGCCGAAAAACGTACGGAAGAATAAAATATTATAAGTATGGGGAAGAGTAGTATTGTGCTTTTCAAGGCACAATAATGACTTTGTAACAAGGAGACTGTAATCCCTTCTCCGTCAGGTGTAGAAAAGTAACGCGAAATTAAAGAAATAACCTTAAATTGTAATAATAATTTCAATCCACGTAATTTCAAAAACTTTGTAGATTCAAGAAAGTATATTCTTTCTTTTTTATTAGTAAGATCAGAGAGTGTTTTCAGTGGATAGATGCTTGTTCACAGTGCAGGAGGTTTTTGTATGGCCACTTCATGAAATTGTATCACTGTGGTTGACTTTTGGTGGAGGAACCAAACTCATCGTTGACTGTAAGTACCACAGATTTTTATTTCATACAACATATAGCAAATGTAACTATTATAACTATTATTATATTGAATGAGACTCTGATCAGTTCAGTGTTTGTATGTTGCTGATTATTTGTGTAATTTTAGCAAATAAGGCTGATCTCACCATCTGAGAGTAAACCTCACAGAAACCAACATTTATTTAACATTAAAAATTTACAGAAACAAAATAGAAATTGTTTAACTGAAAAAAATTGATTCATTAATTTAATTAATTAACAATAAAATTGTTTTAAAATGTGATTCCTGTTGAACGTGAACATGATCTTATCGTTAAATGCAGCTTATCTTTGTGTTCACGGTTCATTCATTTTACATGTCGTGAAAAGGAAGTGAAAGAGACAGATGACAAAGGTTTTAACTGTATTCACATGAGTGTTTCAGCTCTGTCAGTTTAAACAGAAGAAAATCATCACAGGGATGAGTTATTCACTGTCACACATTATAAAACACAGATGAAGATGTCATCAATAGTCATCGTCAATTAACCTTTTTAGTTGCATTTACACTTGAATCATGTGTCTGATGGTCTGATACTGAGTGATTTATGAGTGCAACAGCAGCACAAGTTATTCTGTTTTATTGGATCAAATATAGAAAATTACTAGTATGTAGTTTGTATTTGTTACCAAGCCTTCACTCTTATTACTTTCTCCTTCCCCCCTCCCCTCTCCTCCTCCCCCCTCTCTCCTCCAGTGGGTGTGGTGCGTCCCACCCTGACCGTCCTCCCCCCCTCCAGAGAGGAGCTGCAGAAGGACAGTGCCACACTGGTGTGTCTGGCCAGCGGGGGCTTCCCCTCAACCTGGAGTCTGGGCTGGAAGGTGGGGGGGCAGCAGCAGCTCCTCAGGGGTGTCACACAGCCTGGAGGTCCTGGGGAGGGACGGCCACTACAGCTGGAGCAGCACCCTGAGCCTCTCTGCAGACCAGTGGAGGAAGGCGGGTTCAGTGAGCTGTGAGGCCAGTCTGAGTGGACAGAGCCCTGTCACTCAAACCCTGGACCCTGACCGCTGCTCAGAGTAGAGCTTCAGCAACACTTCCTGTCTGGAAATGATGCTGCTTCTTTGATAGAGATCTTGATGAAGCTGCAGATCTCCTCTGTTCACATATTTCTGCAAACTCATGACTCTGCTTTCATTTGTAGCTTTCTGTTACTTGTATTCTGCTTAAAAGCTGTTATTTTTAAAACGTTATATAATAACTGAATCATTGGAAAATAAAACTGTAGATTTTAATAAATAACTGACTTTGTGTTTCTTTTGCAAAATATTATTCATGAGAAACACACACTTTATCATATTTCATCTTTCCTGCACACTTCATCATAAACTAAAGTTTCTAGTCACTACATATCTGTAATAATAGTGTGAAATATAAAGTCTAATGTGTTTATCATTTGTAAATAAATCAGTAGAATCTTTTTTAAGTTACAGTAGATTTTTTGTGCCACCAAATGCAAAAGAGTTTGTGGAAATACTATTGGACATTTTGGAAACTGTGACTTTGTTTCAGTTTTATTTAGATTCATTGTGGTTCTGCTTGGTTACTTTTGTGTTGTGCACACTGGACCAGTTATCCTCTTCACAGTCTCTTCACCAACCCTCTGCACCTGCAGCAGGCCGATTTAACTTCAGTCAAACTGAAGGAGGTTTTTGTACGGCTCTAAATCACTGTGTGAACGTCTCATCGCTATGGTAGCCCAGACAGTAATAATCTCCAGCATCTTCAGCCTCAACACCACTGATGGTCAGAGTGTAGTGAGAATCAGATCTACTGCCACTGAATCGAGACGGAGTTCCTGAGAAGAGGTCTGATGTAGAGTATATAAGAAGTTTGGGAGCCTGTCCAGGTTTCTGAAGGTACCAACTGAGATCAGCACCAATATCTGAACTCCCTGTGGCGCTGATGGTCACAGTCCCTCCAGAACTAACAGACTTGGATTTGTCAGTCTGAGTCAGAAAATTGTTTGCAGAAGACTCTGAAATGAAAAATGTAGTTCAGATTATAATAAATTAGTCATTGATTAAAACAAGATTTGAGGTTAAAGGCAAGGTAAGTGATATTTACACTGAAGATAACAATTTAACAGTTTTTGATATATTGTATAAAATCTTCTCACCCTGACTCAGAAAACCCAACATGACAAACAGAGTTATTGGCAACTTCATCCTGATGCAGTTTTCAGTGTGAGTGCATGAAAACCGTTTAGACTCTCTGTGACATCAGAACTTAAACTCTGAGGAGCAGTGATGCTTTAAAATCATGCAAAACATATGTGGACACACCTGTCTTTGTCAAACTGTGAGGAAGAGATGAGGTGGAGTAAGTATAGGTTCCATCTCCCTGTGGACTGATTAAGCAAATGTAGAAACTTTAGACTTTCTGTTCTTCATCTCTCTGAATGTTTCTGACTTTGCAAAGTCTCCCAGAAGCCTTTGTGCTCATAAATAAATGGAGGCTGCCCTTTGCTGGCTTTCCAGGATGTTTGGACAGATAAACTATAAACAGACACCATGAATGATACTTAACCTCATTGTTCCCAGGCTATTTTAACTAATTTAATTTAATTTAATCATACTAAATTACCATTAGTACATGGTCCGTGTATGTTTTGGTCATTGGATTTTCCTTTCAGAAACGGATATTAAAAAACAGAAAACGAGTGGTTATTTGATTTTCGTTTTAAAATACAAAAATTAAAATTGAAATACAAGGCGTTTTTCTTTTTCATGGTCAAAAAGGGATGAGTGAAATTAAAAAAATTATTCGATTTTCATTTTCTATTTCATATAACAAAAAATAAAATCACTAGAAAACAGAAACAGAAAAAAGGCCTGTTTTTTCATATTCTGAGACCGGATGTTGTCATTTACAGGACGGTGCTGTGTAGAAGAAACAGTAGGCTAGTAGACTGCGGTCAATCCAGCCGTGAGTCCGATCTCCGTGGTCAAATCAGCCGCACCTAAATGTCCAGTGTACAAGTATTCTCAGCATTATGGTAAATGCGGAGAAACAGCGTATTTACTTCTGGTGTTCAAAATAAAGGTATTTAGAACAGTAAGCTATAATTAAAATATGTTACATTAAAGTGTTGTGCCCCTGATGAATAAAAAAACACTTTATATCAAGTATACTGCACCAGTGTGGAGAAATGCCAAAATAAAAGCCTCATATTTATGCCTCCAGAGATTGCATATTTGACAATATTTGAGGTACTGTAAAAACATATTGCTCAGTGTTTCCTGGCTACTGATGGTATATTTGACTTTTACACATATGAGACTACAACCATACTTAATATCAAGCATTTTTATTGTACCAATTTGGAGAAATTCAACAATAAAAGTCCATATTTGTACCTCCAAGTGGCATATTTTCATATATTTGAACTACTGTAAAAACACTTTGCTCAATAATACCTGGCTATGGGTGAAGCATTTTCATTATACTTCAATAATGATGCAGTAATCATGACAAAATTTCACACAAATGTTTCATACATTTTATAAAAAAATTATAATATAAAGATTAAACACTAAACACAAAATCCTACACAATTCTAATTTGTTTACTTTTCACACAAAATGCAATTCCAGTCCACATTCTTCTTATTTTGCAGCTCTGCTGTGTCCATTTGTAGGCACTGTATGTGGAAGCACCTGCAACAGCTGTCACACTGAATCTGTAAAAGGGAAAAATAATTAGTTTTTTACAGTAGCTCAAATATAAGAAAATATGGAATCTGGAAGTATAAATATGGGACTTTTATTCTTCAATTTCTCCACATTGGTACAGTAAAAATGCTTGATATTAAGTATACTTGTAGTCTTAGATGTGTAGAAGTCAAATATATCATCCATAGCCAGGAATTATTGAGCAAAGTGTTTTTACAGTAGCTCAAATATATGAAAACACCACTTGGAGGTACAAATATGGACTTTTATTGTTGAATTTCTCCAAATTGGTACAATAAAAATGCTTGATATTAAGTATGGTTGTAGTCTCATATGTGTAAAAGTCAAATATACCATCAGTAGCCAGGAAACACTGAGCAATATGTTTTTACAGTACCTCAAATATTGTCAAATATGCAATCTCTGGAGGCATAAATATGAGGCTTTTATTTTGGCATTTCTCCACACTGGTGCAGTATACTTGATATAAAGTGTTTTTTATTCATCAGGGGCACAACACTTTAATGTAACATATTTTATTTTAAATGTAGGTTCGAATTATAGCTTACTGTTCTAAATACCTTTATTTTGAAAACCGGAAGTAAATACGCTGTTTCTCCGCATTTACCATAATGCTGAGAATACTTGTACACTCGAAATTTAAATGCGGCTGATTTGACCACGGAGATCGGACTCACGGCTGGATTGACCGCAGTCTACTAACCTACTGTTTCTTCTACACAGCACCGTCCTGTAAATGACAACATCCGGTCTCAGAATATGAAAAAACAGGCCTTTTTTCTGTTTCTGTTTTCTAGTGATTTTATTTTTTGTTATATGAAATAGAAAATGAAAATCGAATTTTTTTTTTAATTTTGCTCATCCCTTTCTGACCATGAAAAAGAAAAACGCCTTGTATTTCAATTTTAATTTTTGTATTTTAAAACGAAAATCAAATAACCACTCGTTTTCTGTTTTTTAATACCCGTTTCTGAAAGGAAAATCCAATGACCAAAACATACACGGACCGTACATCAATAGTTTTTAGGCCTTATCAAACTGAAGTTTATATCAATCTATTTTTTCATTCTCAACTTATTTGCCATCATAAACAATTAAAGTTCTTAAAGTGCTCAGAAAATCCTGCAATTTCAACATTTACCATTAAAACTTAGGATACTCCACATGCTGATGAAGATCATGTGGTGTGATTAAAAGGTACAAAACAGCTACTAAATGGACCTTCAGCTGATGTAGTTTTCAAATATAATGCTTTCCAAACAAACAGTATATTAGATATTTTTCTTTTTTTCTTTATAGTTTTTATACCAACTGATACAATTTTTTAAAAAGTGAATTACTTTATCTGTTTATTTATGAATTTGTTAGTTTGTGACTTAACATGAGAGGATGTTTTACAACCTACAAAATGTATCCTGAATCCTACAATTTGGCTTAATGCCTATGTTAACATAGGATGTATACTATTAGTATAGTCTTACTCATAATATACAAACTACACTATAAGTGACTAATTCAGTCTACAGAGAAAGACCATGAGATGTGGTTTAAAGTTCTAGATAAAACGATCTTGAGTGAGGATTTTTTGTAGAATTAGAACATTATAACTATACAGCATGTCTCTCTCTTCAGCAAACACCAGACCATGATCAAATATGAGGACACTACAACATTTTTACTCTTACAGACAAAACATGGAACCTAAGGTAACCTAGCTACATTTACTCAAGTGCTGTACAACTCCTTTTACTCCACTACATTTATTTGATGGCTATACTCACTAGTGTGTTCTCAGTTTAAGATTTTCCATCATACAATCATCTTATAAAAGCATTTGTTCATCTTCCCCTTTTTTTGAGCCCCACAGTTCCCAGTGCTGCACGTGTAAAAATGATATTAATACTCTATTTCTGTTTCTTTCTGACCTGATAAAAACCCAATATGTAGAAAAGAGTTAGCTCTTCCCTTTGGACGCAAAATGGACTTGCACATTTGATATGTATATGGTGGGGAAAAAGCCATAAAACATTGTTGTCACACCAAATAAGGAGAATATTTAATTATCTCATCAACAAATGTGTATTTTTCCCAATAGTGAATCACAGACAAAAGATTTCATGTTATTTTACACAGTGACATTATTGACCTTATTTTTGGGTCAATTAGGCCCAAGAAAGCATCCTAGAAAACACGGACAGGGTTAAACCCAAAAACACGACTTCAGAAGCAAAAATAACCTTTAATTAATTCCTAAAATAAAGCCTAATCAGGCGGACAAAAGCAAAGACTTAAAAAATCTTCAAACCAGAAGTCAGGCAGGCAGAGTCAGAGAGGCAGGGAATCACTGGAAAGCAAGAACTGACACATTGGACAATCTGGCAGAGAGCAAGGTGAGTTAGACCAGTATATGAATGAGTGACTGATGAGGGGAATGAGAGGCAGGTGTGGAGATGAGTGGTCAATTTCAGTTGACAGGAAAAACTGGTGGGAGTGGCAGAAATGTTTAAATTTCTTATTTACTTAAAAATATACAGCGATATGTAAAAGGGAAGAATATAGCATAAAAAAGCATGAACAATCAATTTTCAGAATATGTGATCAGGTAACAAATTCTTAACACTAAATGTTTAAAGTGTGTCATTATGTGTATTTACATTTAAAAAAAACTATGTTATACAAATATTTTATGAATTTAACGTGTAGTTTGTGCTTGGTGAGGTTACTGTCAGCTCTGTGTTCAGTGGTCTGTGTCAGAGTCTCTTCCTCTTCAGCAGCTGCAGTCGGTTCTTGCTGTAACAGCTCAGTGTCTCTGCAGTCTGACTGAGGGAGGTTTTTGTACGACGACAAATCACTGTGTGAACACTCCACCACTGTGGTCACTCTGACAGTAATAAACTGCTGCATCTTCAGTCTCAACTCCACTGATGGTCAAAGTGAAGTCAGTCCTGCTTCCACTGCCACTAAACCGAGCTGGTGTTCCCGAATGACGTGTGCTGACAAGTTTTATTAGGAGCTTTGGAGGCTGTCCAGATTTCTGTTGATACCAGTGCAACCAATCTCCATTACTGTCTCTGTAAACAGCTTGGTTTGTTTTACAGCTGATAGTGACAGTGGATCCTGGAGTAAATGTCTTTACTGGAGGCTGAGTCACAGTCACCTGACCGCTGCATCCTGCAGACAAAAACAAATCATTCATTTATCAGCAGAAAGAAATGAGAGAAAAGGCAGCACATCATGTTTGAAATGTTGCTGAGTGAATGAACCTGTAAAACAGCAGCAGGCCAGCGTCCAGATGAGGATGGTGATGAGAGTCATGGTGATTGTGGTTTCTGCTGTATTGACTGACAGATCTGAGTCCTGCAGTGTTGAACTCACAGGACTATAAACCTTCTCAGTTCACTGGAGGATCAGCTGACGATGCAAAGCCTCCTCTCTATGGAAATGATTTCTCTGCTCTCAACACACTTAAGGCAACGTGGGACACAAAATCAGGAGAAATACTGCTTGAATTTACATCATCTATGATCTTAATGGAATACAAGGAAATATTTATATTAGAAGTGCAGCTGAGGATTAAAAGATGAGTTTGTGTCCACTGTGGTTGGTATGATATGTCTGTGTGTCTGCCTTTAATTTACTTACATTGTTAACTAAAGATGAATAACACATTTCAGTTTTGCTTCATATGAATTTGTAAAAAAATATTATTCAAAAATATAATTTTAATTTAACCATTAATCAACTGATATAAAACTGTGAAAAACATTACTTTGTTACAAGGTGACTGTTATCGTTTCTCTGTCAGGTATAGAAAAGTAAAGCAAAATAAAAGAAAGAACCTTAAATTGTACAATAATTTCAATCCAAACAATTAGAAAAACATTGTAAATTTAATAAATTATATTCTTTCTGTGTTATTAGTAAGATCAGAGAGTCTTTCCAGTGGATAGATGCTTCACAGTGCAGAAGGTTTTTGTACGGCCACTTAATGAGTTTGTATCACTGTGGTACACTTTTGGTGGCGGAACCAAACTCATCATACACTGTAAGTAACAGAGATTTTTATTTTATACAACATGACAGATTATACTACATATTGAAAAACGTCATGTGATAAAACAAGAAATTAATGTGGCTATTTTATATTTTGTGGATATTTTCTGTTATTTATCAAGCATAGCTAACATCACATTTAGGCATAAACACAGAGATTAATGTTCTTTTAGTATTATACATGTTATTACGACACAAAGATTTAATAGAAAAATTGAATTTAATCTATTTAGCTGTAAAATATTAACATATCTGATTGTAAAATTTGTCTGAGCAACATTTTAACATTTCGGGAAACATAAATATTTCAAGTTTATTATTTCAACATTAAAAAAATGTTAGGTATAAAATCTGATGTGAATGCTTTTGCAACAAATAAGTGAGTTTCTTTGTACGTACAGTGTAGCTGCAGTTTGCGTTCACAGTTCGTTAGTTTAAAATGGTGAAAAGGAAGTGAAACAGACAGATGACAAAGTCTTTAACTGAATACAAACATTATGTTTTTAAAAAAAGAAGATCATTGCAGAGATAAATCATTAACTGTCACACATTGATGTTAAAATCGAATTTAAGGATCATCATTACAAATTTCTATTACATTTACAAATGAGTCGTGTTGGATTTTACTGTCCAATTCTCAGTACCACAGTAGACGACCTATTATATTAAATGTCAAAATTAAATCAAGTTTCTATTTGTTAAAGCCTCATTTCCTCCCATGTCTCACCTCCTCTCCTCTGTCTGATCACAGTATCGTGCACACAGCTAATCCACAGCAGTGTTAACCTCTGTCATGTATCTTAAGTATCTCATGTTCAGCTGTCTGTCCTACAGAGGAAGTTAATCTGCTCCTTGTGTGTCTCTGCTCTCCCCTCCAGCTGGCCCCATGGTCAGGCCCTCAGTCTCTCTGCTTCCCCCCTCCTCTGAGCAGCTCTCTGGGGGCTCAGCCACGCTGGCCTGCCTGCTGACCGGCTACTCTCCTCAGGGAGCCGCGGTGAGCTGGGAGGTGGACGGTACGGAGGTGACAGAGGGGGTCCAGACCAGCTCAGAGGAGGAGAAGAGTGGACGCTACAGCAGCAGCAGCACCCTGAGCCTGAGCCAGGAGCGCTGGATGAAAGGAGAGCTGTACTCCTGCAAGGTCCTCCATCATGACCACAGCCAGACCCAGTCCCTCCACAGGAGCCAGTGTGAGGGCTAGAGGGGCTCACTGAAGGCCAGGACAGGAGCTCTGTGTGGGGGGAGCAGGAGGAACAAACCTGCTGCTCTGATCAATATGAGTTTTAATGTTTGTAGAGGAAAGTAAAGCTTTGTGTGACAGAGAACAACACTGCTGTAAAGTGTTGGACAACAACAACTTAGAGAGTAATGTGTGTAGCTCAGCAGCTAGATGTGAGTGTGCTTAATAACTGTCATGTTGATGATTGATGTTTTTGCTAATAAAGCTTGAACTGATAAATAACTTTATGAGTGTTTGTTCTGTTGTTTTATGAAGAGTAGAAAGAAACTAGAAAATTCCTAAAGCAATTTTGATTGTGCCTTGCTCTGGCCCATACATTACTGACACTGCCGAGTAGTTTACAGTACAATGAGGGGAGACACCCGTGTTTAATTCGGCGTATGCGTGATCCACTAACAACCACGTATTTTAATGACAAATCTTGTTTTTTCCATCTATTGCCACGGTCTTGTCCCACTGAAATAGTGAGGCTGGTAACGAGTTGATGCGACAAAGTCGGCCAAAAAGTTGGTATTTATGTATTATATTGATGCCGAATTAACAAGAAGACTGTTGAGATATGATGGGTTTTTTCTTGTGTTTCTACAGTTATGTGCATTTATGTAAGTGCAAATATTTGTTAATATATGGTATTTCTTAAATGGAGTTTGGCATAATATTGTCCTGGGATAATGCAGGAAGGGTCATAGTTTAATTAAAATTGCTAAAGTAACTAAATAAGTAATAACCACAATGGTGGGAATAATAAGTATGTAGTTATAATAATAATGATAATAATAGTAATAATAATAAGAACAATAATAAGTAATGCTATCAATAATATGAATAACAATATTTATATTAATAAATAATACATAATTAAGAAAGCAAACTATTCTTACTGTGCAGTCATAGGCAGTTACAACAGTCTGAGTGTCTTCTTCCTCACAAAATAAATCTAACTTGATGTTTTATTACATTAGTAAATCTGTATAACTTGTGTCAGGTGTAACAAGTTGAAATAGATGGCTAATTAAGAATTTCAGTGTCTTTTGTGACGTTTAATTAGCACAGTAATCCTTTGTCCTCTCTAGCTAGCGAGTGCTAGCATATTCATACCTTGTTCTGTCTAGCTAGCTTGCGCTAAAACATTAGTAGCTTATCCTCTCTAGCAAGCAAAGCATTTTAATTAATTAGCTAACCTTCTAATACCTTCTTCTACCTTCTAATTCTCTTTAGCTAGCTTGAGCTAGCACACATAAACACATTAACCAGAGCTAGCGCTTAGCTACGTGCTAATCGCTAGCTAACTGCTAATCGCTAGCTCTGCGCTAATCGCTAGCTATGCGCTAATCGCTAGCTAAGTGCTAGCTTTGGTTAATGTGTTTAATTGTGTTATGCTCCTGAAGGAGTGCTAATGTAAATTAAGGAACAGCTCATAGTAGGGTAACATATTTAAGGTGCTAGCATATTAATACCTTGTCATTCTCTTTAGCTAGCTAGAGCTAGCACACATAAACACATTAACCAGAGCTAGCGCTTAGCTACGTGCTAATCGCTAGCTAACCGCTAATCGCTAGCTACGTGCTAATTGCTAGCCAAGTGCTAGCTCTGGTTAATGTGTTTAATTGTATTATGCTCCTGAAGGAGTGCTAATGTAAATTAAGGAACAGCTCATAGTAGGGTAAAATATTTAAGGTGTATTGAACTTATTTTGTGTTAATATTAAAATCATTCAGCTTTAAATTGTTTGTTTGTTAGCCGCCTGCTAATTATCTTTAGCTAGCCAGCTAGCGCTAGCTTATTAATAGCTTAAATGCTCCTCTGTAGCTAGCTATGTGTGTGTGTGTGTGTGTGAGCAGGCTTTGGTTGTCATGGCAATCAGGGGAGCCCACAGCAGCTGCGCACGCTCTCTCTCTGTGTCTAACTCCTCAGAGAGACAGAAAACAATTAAAACGAATCCCCTCAAAAGCATGGCCAGGAACGACCGAAAAGAAAACCGAAAACACCGTGGGCGTCGTCATCTTGTTGACTATAGCACTGCCGAGTTTCAGTGGTTAAAGTTAAAAAATGTGACCTGGGGAGATTGAGAGAGAAGAGGTTCAACGAGCGTTTTTTAAGATTTGTCCTCTAAAATTAACATGGGAGTAGATGGGGCCGTGAGAGGGCGTTGCTGGCGCATCAGTGCGTCTCCCGCCAAAACTATTTGTCTGACAGCTTCAGCAGTGGTATCACTGCGACCCCAACGAATTTACCTACGTTTCTATCTATAAATTATTTCTGTAGAGTGATATTTGTGGCCATGACAGCAGTTTACAAATTTATTTTTCGACAAATTTTTCTCTCTCCCCACACTCTAGCGATGATGTCACGCACTCTAGCGGTTGAACATTCTCGCAATACACACCCATTCATTTTTTGGACCGGTTTTTGGCGATTTATCGGCAAACCGTTTGGCGAAATTCTTAGAAAAGTCATAGCACTAATGTCCTCATCGAGCCGCACGTTTTGATACCTTTTTTGTGTATGTGCGACAAAAGCTCCGGGAGAAGAAGCGCGCCGAAAAAGCGTACGGAAGAATAATAATAAGTTTAATAAGCCCGAGGAAGAGTAGTATTGTGCTTGCTTATGCAAGGCACAATAATGAAATGGTTTCATAATTTTAACTGATACTCCTCTCTGTGGAACATGACACGCTTTGGATTTATCATGTCTCTCTCTTTTTTCCTTATTTGTAATGAACTTGGTATTATACAATACTATGAACAACTAAAGAATACATGTATTTATCATAATTTAAAAAAACGTGAAAAATGCTATTTATTAATATCTGTGACTGTGATGTGTCGCTGGATTTTTGAAAGATGTTTTTTAAGTAGTGTGTGGAAAAATATAATCAATATATTACTATGAATGTGTAGTTTGTGCTTGGTGAGGTTACTGTCAGTTCTGTGTTCAGTGGTCTGTGTCAGAGTCTCTTCCTCTTCAGCAGCTGCAGTCGGTTCCTGCTGTAACAGCTCAGTGTCTCTGCAGTCTGACTGAGGGAGGTTTTTGTACGACGACAAATCACTGTGTGAACACCCAAGCACTGTTTATATAGTGAGCACTCTGACAGTAATAAACTGCTGCATCTTCAGTCTGAACTCCACTGATGGTCATCTCAGCATTCACTCCGTCTCCTCTGCCAGAGAATCTAGAGGAAAACTCGCTTGCAGGATTTTTACCCAAGTTGATGACCAACTTAGGAGCTTCTCCAGATTTCTGCTGATACCAGTGTACTCTACTATCTCCATCTGACCAAACAGAAACCTTTGGGTTGGTTTTACAGGTCAAAGTGACTGAGGATCCAAGTGAAGATGTGACTACAGCAGGTTGATTCACAGTCACTTGACCATTAGATCCTGCAGACAAAATTAGGGGAAAAAAGAGAAGTTAAGCAATCAGAACTGGGATTGTTAATAATTTAACTGCTTTAACTGAGTTAAAAAATACTGAATTTCTTTAATAACAATTCTGACCTCTAAGGCAGCAGCAGGCCAGCGTCCAGATGAGGATGGTGATGAGAGTCATGGTGGTTGTGGTTTCTGCTGTGTTAACTGACAGATCTGAGTCCTGCAGTGTTGAACTCACAGGACTATAAACCTTCTCAGTTCACTGGAGGATCAGCTGACGATGCAAAGCCTCCTCTCTATGGAAATGATTTCTCTGCTCTCAACACACTGAAGGCAACATGGGACACAAAATCAGGAGAAATAATGCTTGGATTTACACCATCTATGATCTTAATGGAATACAAGGAAATATTTATATTAGAAGTGCAGTTGAGGATTTAAGGATAAGTTTGTGTCCACTGTGGTTGGTATGATATGTCTGTTTGTCTGCCTTTAATTTACTTACATTGTTTACTGTGGAAAAATTAAAAAAATATTATTAAAAACATCATGTTAATTTAACCATTCATCAACTGATATAAAACTATGAAAAAAATTACTTTGCTACAAGGTGACTGTAATCTTTTCTCTGTCAGGAGTAGAAAAGCAAAGCAAAATTAAAGAAAGAACCTTAAATTGTACAATGTTTTCAAACCATATAATAAAAAAAACATTTTAGATTCAATAAAGTATATTCTTTCTGTGTTATTAGTAAGATCAGAGAGTGTTTTCAGTTGAAAGATGCTTGTTCACAGTGCAGGAGGTTTTTGTACGGCCACTTAATGAGTTTGTATCACTGTGGTGGACTTTTGGTGGAGGAACCAAACTCATCGTTGACTGTAAGTACCAGAGATTTTATTTTATGCAACATATAGCAAATGTAACTATTATCACTATTATAATATTCAATGACACTCTGATCAGTTCAGTGTTTGTATGTTGCTGATTATTTGTGTTATTTTAGCAAACAAGGCTGATCTCACCATCTGAGAGTAAACCTCACAGAAACCAACATTTACTTAACATTAAAAATTTACAGAAACAAAATAGAAATTGTTTAACTGAAAAAAATTTAATTCATTAATTTCATTAATTAACATTAAAACTGTTTTAAAATGTGATTCCTGTTAAACACGAACATGATCTTATCATTAAATGCAGCTTATCTTTGTGTTCACGGTTCATTCATTTTACATGTCGTGAAAAGGAAGTGAAAGAGACAGATGACAAAGGTTTTAACTGTATTCACATGAGTGTTTCAGCTTTGTCAGTTTAAACAGAAGAAAATCATCACAGGGATGAGTTATTCACTGTCACACATTATGAAACACAGATGAAGATGTCATCAATAGTCATCGACAATTAACCTTTTTAGTTGCATTTACACTTGAATCATGTGTCTGATGGTCTGATACTGAGTGATTTATGAGTGCAACAGCAGCACAAGTTATTCTGTTTTATTGGATCAAATATAGAAAAATAACTAGTATGTAGTTTGTATTTGTTACCAAGCCTTTCTCCTTCCCCCCTCCCCTCTCCTCCTCCCCACTCCTCTCCTCCAGTGGGTGTGGTGCGTCCCACCCTGACCGTCCTCCCCCCCTCCAGAGAGGAGCTGCAGAAGGACGGTGCCACACTGGTGTGTCTGGCCAGCGGGGGCTTCCCCTCAACCTGGAGTCTGGGCTGGAAGGTGGGGGGCAGCAGCAGCTCCTCAGGGGTGTCACACAGCCTGGAGGTCCTGGGGAGGGACGGCCACTACAGCTGGAGCAGCACCCTGAGCCTCTCTGCAGACCAGTGGAGGAAGGCGGGCTCAGTGAGCTGTGAGGCCAGTCTGAGTGGACAGAGCCCTGTCACTCAAACCCTGGACCCTGATCGCTGCTCAGAGTAGAGCTTCAGCGACACTTCCTGTCTGGAAATGATGCTGCTTCTTTGATAGAGATCTTGATGAAGCTGCAGATCTCCTCTGTTCACATATTTCTGCAAACTCATGACTCTGCTTTCATTTGTAGCTTTCTGTTACTCGTATTCTGTTTAAAAGTTGTTATTTTTAAAATGTCAAATAATAACTGAGTCATTGGAAAATAAAACTGTAGATTTTAATAAATAACTGACTTTGTATTTCTTTTGCAAAACATTATTCATGAGAAACACACACTTTATCACATTTCATCTTTCCTGCACACTTCATCATAAACTAAGGTTTCTAGTCACTACATATGTGTAATAATAGTGTGAAATATAAAGTATAATGTGTTTATCATTTGTAAATAAATCAGTAGAATCTTTTTTAAGTTACAGTAGTTTTTTTATGCCGCCAAATGCAAAAGAGTTTGTGGAAATACTGTTGGACATTTTGGAAACTGTGAGTTTGTTTCAGTTTTATTTAGATTCATTGTGGTTCTGCTTGGTTACTTTTGTGTTGTGTGCACTGGACCAGTTTTCCTCTTCACAGTCTCTTCACCAACCCTCTGCACCTGCAGCAGGCCGATTTCACTTCAGTCAAACTGAAGGAGGTTTTTGTACGACTCTAAATGTGTGAATGTTATATCGGTATGCAAGCCCAGACAGTAATAATTTCCAGCATCTTCAGCCTCAACACCACTGATGGTCAGAGTGTAGTGAGAATCAGAGCTACTGCCACTGAATCGAGACGGAGTTCCCGAGTTTAGAGTTGATGCCCAATATAAAAAGAAGTTTGGGAGCCTGTCCAGGTTTCTGAAGGTACCAACTGAGATTATCATCAATATCTGAACTCCCTGTGGCGCTGATGGTCACAGTCCCTCCAGGACTAACAGACTTGGATTTGTCAGTCTGCGTCAGAAAATTGTTTGCAGAAGACTCTGAAATGAAAAATTAAATATAAATCTTGAGAATCAGCAGTTCAGATTATAATAAATTAGTCACTGATTAAGGGTAAAGGTAAAAGGCAAGGTAAGTGATATTTACACTGAAAATAACAATTTAACAGTTTTTGATAAATTGTATAAAAACTTCTCACCCTGACTCAGAAAACCCAACATGACAAACAGAGTTATTGGCAACTTCATCCTGATGCAGTTTTCAGTGTGAGTGCATGAAAACAGTTCAGACTCTCTGTGACATCAGAACTTAAACTCTGAGGAGCAGTGATGCTTTGAAGCATGCAAAACATATTCAGGAAGGCGAACACACACCTGTTCTTGTGAAACAGAAAAAAAAAAAACTTTGACTGTATGCGCTTGTTTCTCTTCTTTGTAAACTTTTATCCTTTTTTACCTCTTTCTTGATCCATACCTAATTAATAGGTGTATCGCTCCCCCTGCTGGCAAATGAATCCAGACTTACAGCTTAATATGAACTGACACTGTTTTATAGCATACATTTCCCTCCTTGTTTTCATATTTTGATGAACTGGTGCTACATTTATTAGGTAAATAAAAAAAACAGACACACTGACAGTAGCAGAAAGGCAGGGACATAAAACCATCTTAGTGTGTTAGCTGGAGGCCTCAGCTCCTACTGGCATAAATCATAGTCTACATGTTTATACTTCTCAGAAACAAAAGCAATTATTTTGCATGCGTTTTTGGGAGATCTGTGAATGAATCACTATAGACTGATCAATGTTTTGTTATAAAAATCCCTTTTCAGCTACAGATTATGTTTTGCATTGTCACTGTGAGCATGTCAGCATGATGATGTTAGCACTGAGCTCAATGTAGAGCCCCACACAACTAGCAACCGTAGACCATTAGTCTTGTTGATAATTATTGAAGATTATAGGTTAGAGATACTAACATATGTGTACTTTATTAAGACCAAACCTTGGAACAGGGATAAACAGTCTTAATTATTGTTTAATATTCAATATAATATAGAGTTATACATCAGATTGTACAACACAGTGGCCTATGTCACACACAATGTACTTTAGATTCTGTGTTAAAAGAGAAATGACTGTCTATTAATTTCTGGTCAGGGCCGCCTTTTGTCTGAGTGAGGAAGACTGAGTGCATGATTGAACATCTGGTGCTGTAAAAGGGAACAAAACCTAAATGTCAGGCGCATGAAAATCTGAGTTTCACTTCCCCTTTCACTGGGGATGAACTATCAGAAGTCTCTGTAAATTGTCGTTGTGCTTTAGGTGACTATGTTCAGGGGAGCAGTGGTGCTTATCAGAATCGCCTGTGACAGATCACAGCTGCAACATAGCAATCTGTTGAGGTTTTTGTACGACTATATCACGGTGTGTAGAGTCCCACGTATTCTCCCATACAGTAGTAGTCTCGCACTATCTCACCCTGAGTGTGGGCTGCCAGTATCAGCAGGAAAACCAGTGAAATCTTCATTATGGATGTACAGTATGTGTGTGAGGGAAAATAATAAAATTGTGTATTACTTGGCACAAGACATGGCGCCTTAAAAAAACATCTGGTGTGCAGGGAAGCACAACATATATTCAAATGATCTTGTGCCTGTAAGAGTTGTCTGTGGGTTTCTGCCACATAAAGACGAATGCTGCTCTCTTTTGTCGAAATAGGAAAATGTCAGTTCATTTGAATCTTTTACATCATGGATGGATTTTGAGATAATCGGCCCAGACTCTTTGTAGATGTGTCTCAAGTTATTTTGCATCTTTTTGTAATTATTTTGAGTTTCTTTAAAGTAATTTTGAGTCTCTTTCTGGTTGTCTCTGTCGTCTGTTTGTGCTCGCTTTTGAATTTCTTCTGCATGATTTCGTGGTCATGTTGCATCTCCTTTTGCATATTTTTTGTGGTGGTGTTGCATCTCTTCATTTTACATATGGTTTTGTGTCTCTCTGTACTTGTTTTGCATCGTACTTTGTGTTTCTTTGTAACTGATTCAGCTACTATCCATGTTAACGGTCACAGCTCACACCCCATTGGCCCCTGTGCCCTGGTAGGCCCATGTAGTGATCCAAACACAAGCCTGTTTAGGTCCACCTTTAATAATAATTTACATACTGTATGGATTTTATTCAACACCAGAAGTTGTTGGTTTCATGGTAAACAACAACACATTCGTTTTTAAACTATGCAGTCATTCTTATTACACGTATAATTGGAATGTGTGTTCTGGTCAAAAGTCACATAACAGTATATTCCAGCCTGTTTTAGAAGTATTTGAAAGTACTCAGTATTTGTGTCAACCTGTTGAGTACCATATGAGTGGGTTTTACTGCATCTTACATCTGTTAAAGGCACATTTAATAAACATTTTAAAATGCTTTCAAGTGATTGTCTAAAGTTTATGTAAAAATTAGGTATAAACCGATCTCATTTGGTACTCCAAGAAGATTAAAACAAACAATTATTTCCAAATACCGCTTGACTCAGGTCTGGCTCGAGTGTCTCAGGCTTGTCAATACATTTTATGGTTTAAGTCAAAATGATGAATTGGTACATAAAAACAAGTTGAAAAAACAAATTTGTCTTCTGTTGTGTTAGTTACAAATACAAAACAATGATATACATACTTTTTAAAAGCCGTTAAAAACACAGGACATCACCAATACATAATATACAAAAAAGAAGAACAGTCTTCCTCCAGTTCAGCACATTCAGACAATTTCATACAGTATCTGTGTTGTACTCACACCAACACACCGGCAGTAAGGTGTCTGTGGCAAAAGGCACAGCTGAAGACAAACAGAACATCTAGGAAAAAAAACACCATAGTGATACAAATGCTTTTTAGGTACTAGCCTCAAGGATCCAAGGCAATTTTTGATGCAGTAAACATCAGTGTTCAGATGGGTTTGCATAGTTTGCAGAAGAGCCGGCACAGAGAGTTTGATAGCAGTTGAGGTGTATGAAGCCTGAATCAGGTGTGTGTGTGTGTGTCATAGTGTGTTTTGGTGCATTTAACATCTTAAATTGCCACCAGGGGGCCGAAACCCTTACTGGAGAAAATCTGGACATTTTGATTTAATATTATAAAATACTTAAAAGTTTCACGTACAGGGTCGAACAGGGACACTGGTGTGTCTTTTTCCACTGCACAAAGACTGTATTGTCCAGTGCTGGGACACAGTACAGCACAGTATTGGTACAGTTTAATTTTTCCATGCCAATTTCAAAACTTTTGGACCCTGTCTGAATGCACATGTGTAACCAGAGCAACAGCAACCATAGAAACCAGTTGCAAAGATTCCAGTCTCTACACACACCAAAGTTGTAGAATCCTCACGATGTTCATCTCTCAAGATGAACAAGTTCCCGCTTATCTGATACACAAAATTAAATCTATTTAAAGATTTCCTTATTCACAAAATATCCTTAGGCTAAAAGTAACTCCTAACTGGACGAGTTAGAAGAAACTTACAATTAGGGCCACACTTCTGTCTGTCTACACTTAAAGACTCTAACAAAGTCAGTCAGTGCTAAAACTAGCTCACTTAAGTCTGTGAGAAGGCAGTCCAGAAGACTCCTAAGTCACAACCTGCTGCAAGTAATGTGCCGAAAGATAGGAAAATGAACTTATAAAAAGGATATTTTATTGGCTGGCGAGTTGGTAAAGATCCAATCAACTCACCAACAAATCAAAACCATCCAGTAAGAGCAGAGATGATGGTTTGTAAAGTTACCTCTACTTGGACAAATGCCGTTCGCAGCTCTGAAAAAGGACTACCTTCCCTAATGTAATATCCCTATTAACAATGATATTTTATTTCACTGGCACAGACCAGTCAACTATTCACTGTAGAGATAGTAAGTAAATTAATTTATTAAACATGATGTCATCCATGGCAACAGGGTTGACCACGCCCCTTCTCTCTTAGCTTAGGAGCTCCTAATTTCTCCGGTAAAAGCTGCTCGCAGAAGCTTTGTGAACAAGTTTTGAGAGGAGGAACCTTTAGCGCCTTTTAGGAGAACTCCTAGTGGTAAAACAGGATCGCTTGGAGTGCAAAGAGTCTCAAACCTTTGCAACAGTGACCCTGCATTCCTGATACCAGTGTCAACATCAACAACACACACATGCCATGGCTGCAACAAACAGAAGACACATTATGACTGTGTGCAGCTTTAGAACGAGGCACAAAGGTAAGATACATTGTAACAGAAACACTGGGAAAAGTGGAGAGGCATTTTGTGACCCTTTGAGAAAACACGAGCAGGTTGCTGACGGTCATCATACACAGACCAGCAGACGATGGTTGTTTGGCTGTCATTGGCATTAGCACTAAGTCTTCAGAGACTGGGGATTTAGCGGTTGCTCTTCATGGCCTCCTTGGCTGCCAGGATGAGCGGGGTGAGGGTGGACAGAGGCTTGGTCAGCTTCAGGAATGGGTGCTACAGACAGACAGACAGACAGACAAAGGAGTGCACACGTGAATATAATGTGACACGTGAAGTTTAGGTATTAACTCAATTTTCAGGATTAACTCTGATAAATATGTGCAAAATAGTTGTGCTACCAAAAGTTAACAACACACAGTACAAGGAAAATAACTTTGTAACTCTGAACCTGTGTCATTTTCTAAGCACAAATGCCAAACATTATCTTATAATATATATTCTACCTGTAGCAGTTCTCTGCTTGATCCTCTTTTCTCCACGTCCATCTCCAGACAGCGAGACAGGAAGGATCTGAAGACAGGGGACAGCTTCTCTGGACTCTGCAGCTCAGGAGTCCCATTGGTGGCAATTAAATATAATGCCTAAGACCAGCACAATAGCATGGTAAGAAAAGCAGTGTAATACATCATCTTGAAGCATTTCAACATGAGTTAATTCCTTCACAGTGCTGATCTTTGTAGCAGACTCTTGCTGCCATCTGACAGAGAGCAAAACATACCATATAAAGACTTTTTGTTACAATAATGATCCAATGTGATACTATTCACAGAGGATAAATGACCTGGGAATGGGAACAGCCTGTGACGTGTCTAGGAGAAACTACAGTGGCCATGAAGCTCGTGAAAAACGCGAAAGGCACTGTCTACAACCACTGTTTGGTTTGTCCATTGTGGGCTACTGTAGAAACATGGGGGTTCGACATTGAGGACTTCATTAAAGGCGACCCGCCGCATCTGTAGCTAAAACAGGATCATTCTAAGGTATGGTAACACAATAATTGATCACCTGATCCACAATAAATCAGGTGATAATACACTAATTAAAACATACCTTTGAATATTATATTACATTTCGGTCAATAGATCCTCCTAAATGTTACACAGTGGACCTTTAATCAACAGAGAAAAAACTATAAACAAGTTTTTCTTCATATTACAAAAGAGGGATATAATGTGTATTGAGCTACCTTATTACAGCTCGATCTCAGTATAATCCTGTATATACTCTGAATTACTCGCCCAGTATGCATGAAAACGCTAATAATTAATTGTGTCATGACTCTAAGAATGATGCACGGTTTCTCTAATTCTTACAATCAAGAGTAAGTGACAGGAACACATGTTCTATGGGAATAAAACTTGGTCTATGTATATACTTGATTAGTGCCTTTCAAGTATTGATTGTTTAAGATTGTTAGGAATCTTTAGACTGACAAAGTCATTTGCAGACAGCTCGAGGAAAAAAGTGATTGTGAAATAGTTTTTCTAAGTTTTCTGACATTTTAGAGACTAAAAAAATGAATCGTAAAAACAATAGATACTTATTATATCGAAAATTGCCTGTCCATTCTTTCTCCCAGCACACACTCACCCTGAGAGGGTTCTCGTTGAGATATGGAGGCTCTCCCTCTACCATCTCTATAGCCATGATCCCCAAAGACCAAATGTCCACTTTGGGTCCGTAGGCTTTCCTGGTCACCACCTCTGGAGCCATCCAGTATGGGGTCCCCACCATGGTGCTACGTTTATCTTGCTCTGGGGTGATCTGGGCACAAAAGCCGAAGTCGGCTGCAAAGAGAGAAAGAGATATCTGTTGAGATCAATTTATTTATGGTCTTTACCAAAGTTAAGATTAAAGTACACAGGCAAATATAAAATCTGTGTGCTTTTCAGTCAGACATGTACAACATGTGCGTGTGCTCTCCCTCACTGAGTTTGACTGATCCGTCCCTCCCCAGCAATACGTTGTCACTCTTGATGTCTCTGTGGATGACCTGGTTGGCATGAAGAAACTCCAGAGCCTGGAGGACCTGGACACACAGAGGGAGAAAGGTTAGAATCCCAAAAAGTTAATGCACACAAGAAAAATGTATAGAAAATAGGAAAATGTACACAGATTTTGGATATTTTTTAACATGTTTCGGTGAATAATGAAAATGAACGAAAGCCTGAAATTTGTTCATAGCAATTAAAAGGTGAAATAACACCAGGGTTATCCTTTAATGCCGACTACCATTTGCAAATTGTGGTAACTTATTCCAGGATGCTTGTTGGATGCTTACTCATTGGCTACCCTGACAATCAATCATTCATGGATCATTCACTGGCTACAAGATGTCACTTTAGCCAGTGAGAGCCAGTAAATGTACAGTATTGAATGAGAAAAGTTAAACAAACTAAAAGTTAACATAGGAGTGAAAACAAATGTATGAAATGTCCTACACTTACTCAATTGCTGAAATGGAGAATTTGTTACGGGTACAATCAAATAATATTGGTAACCAAATTATATATGATATACTGAATATGCTACATATATTTAAAAGCACACCAAAATTAATAAGTAGCTTCAGAGCTTCAACAACTAGCTGATTAAACAAAAAGTTCTCTGTGTAGTTTATGACATCTAGTAGTGCTGTGGAACAATTCAGGCACGAAACAAACAAAATGGGGACCCATTCGTGCGAGCAAAACACATTCCTGCGAATCATTTTACATTATTCCACTGACCTACAGGTGGCAGTAATGCACAAAATAACACAGGACTAGACTAGCAAAGGCAGGGAAGACAAAGAAGACTGCCATGTAGTAAACGTGAATGTTAATGCAGGTTGCAAACGTTTTATGAGAAAGCAAATGCATTCAACACAATATGTTAAGGTACAGAACAGAATTTAATATTTAAAAATGTATGACCAGATTAAAACCAGATTTCCATGAATACAGCTTGTGAATCTATCTATTATCTGAGGTGCTGAAGAGGTATCAAGGTTTGATAATGTAGTTGTTTTATATCCTTTGTAACTCACTGTTGCAAAGCTGTATTTTTCCTGTTGCCATGAGCTTGTGAGGAGCATATGAGCTCACTCTCTCACGCAAGGTTAGTCACAAAGTAATCATTCTTTCCAAAACAGTATCTTTCAATAACCTCATTGTCATCAATAACATATCTCTTCCCCATTGTATTTGTGCATATGTTTTTGCTATCTCCTGGCAACTCCTTACAGGTCAGGACACCTCTGGAGTTCTCATGAATATTGGCAAAGATAAGGCTAATTTCCTAAGATAAGAAATTCAATGCACTGCTTTTGCTTCTATGACTAAAATAAATGTTTAGAGAATTTGGCCAGTTAAGCCTGTTTTCCTACTCCTGATAAATGGTCAATAAATGAGCCACAGGCAGACATGAGAGCATGTAAGTGGTTTGTGTCTCATACTGTAGTAAAAATGCATGTGTTCCATTGTCCTATAAAATCACATTGGATCTTTTAAGCCCTTCGTTGAATACGTGAGACTTAAGATTGTGTGACACAGGTGTTTTGACAGGTTTGATAAGGTTTTCTTTTGTAAGCTCAGTTGCCTGAAAAGAATCCTACCTCTCTACAGACGGCGGCGATCTGAGCCTCGTCCATGCACGTCTCCGTCACAACATCAGTAAGCGAGCCACCGGCCAGGTACTCCATCACCACAAAAAGCTCGTCTCCAACGAGGAAACTAAAAATGAACACACGAAGAGTCACATCCACAAAGCAGTCGACTCACAGTTGGTGCTGTGGATGTATACTGTAGTCTGTGGTCCATGTTACCTATCTACGAAGTTGACAATGTTGGGGTTCTTCAGCTCCTTCATGACCAGGATCTCATTGATAATTAGCTCTTTCTTTGGCTGCTTCTGCAAGTTGATCTGTTTGATGGCCACCTGCGGAACACAACACCCTGTAAATGTGGTGCCACCGATATGTGCAATCATTCTGGGTAAGTGCAAGTACAAATAATTAACTTGCAGTTAATTGTGCTAGTTGTCAATACCGTTAGTAAACTTTTAACTCTTCTACAGAAGATGTAAAGTTGCCAAGAGAAAAAATAGATATATAAATATGTTCTGAATAAGGATTTTTTTGCAAAAGGAAAATAACTCCAAACTGCAGTAATGCTTTTACACAACTATAATGCTATAGGCTACTGTTAAAATGCTTTAACCAGAGTAATATAACCAGATCAGCACTTCAACCTACTGTGATTTCTTCCAGTTACTTTTATTTAAAATGGCAACTTACAGTCCAGCTGTGTGGTTAAATATTGTTTAGAAAAGGCTCCATCCCCAGATCAATTCCTCAGTTACTCAAACCACAGAAGCAACACGCCAAATGGCTGCATGTGAAGGATTTTCCTTCTCTGTTTGGTTTTAATTTAACAGCTATGTTCCTGAGATGATTTTTTGTGGTTGTCGATGGAAAAATGTTGGAATTGTTGAAGTATGAAAAAATATACTGATGGGATTTTTGTGGTGGCACAAGATGAAATAATCTTACCTCCTGTCCTGTGGAAACATCTATGGCTGTGTAAACTGTGCCAGATGCCCTGAGTAGGAAAAACAGTAAGAGGTGAAATAAAATACTTTTTCTAATTTTTTTTTTTTATATTCCTACACAATTCAGGGTTGGTTAACCTTCCTCTTTTGGTCAGCGGGAACAGCAACATGCTAAACAGCCTTCTTGAAGTTTTAAACATTACCCTGAATTCTGACTCACCCCTGGCCAATCTTCTCATAGCGAGTGTATTTCTTCTTAGGATCTCCAATACTGACAATAGTTCCTAGGAGTTGCAAAAACAAAAAATAGTTAAGTCAGCTCAACTGGAGCTAAAAAAAGCTGTGGCTCTGCCTGTCATTTCCACTGTGTGTTTTACATACTGAGTTTCTCCATGATCTCCTCATCGGTCATCTTGCCGCCCTTCCTCTTCTGTCTGTCAGCTGCCTTAGAGGCGGCGTCTCCCTCTGGAGCTGGGAGTGGGTCTATCACTGACCTTGTGTACACCTGAGACAACACAAGAAGGAACATTTTCAGAGATACTAATCTTGCCTTTCTTATTTTCAACTACTTGTAATTCTTGGCAATTGGATATTCAGCTTACTTTACTGTAATAAAGACTAAACAACTAAATGCCTAAAATCAGATGGTAAATTATAGGACATTAGAGCATTAGCACAACAAAAGTATTGTTAAAACTATCAACGTGTTCCCCAGTGCTGCTTATCTGTATTTTAAAGTTTTAAAAAACACAATCTTGTTATCCCTACTCACTGATTTTGTGTGTTCTGGCCGCGGTGCCACAATTGGAGGTGGTGTATCATCATCATCATCATCGTCTCCATCCTTGCCACCTGATTGGGAGGTTGCTGTACCCTGCTTGCCTGGCTGCAACAGTGAACACGAACATACGCAGATTAAACAGAATCTCAGTCAGAAATAGCAAAAGTTATGTATGTGGAATGTGACATTATGAATGAGAGTGGAAAGGATGAAAGGACCTACTCACCGACAGTGAGTCTTTATCTGAAAGAGATAAAGTGTAAAAGAAGTGAGTCTACGCAGTTACAACAGTGGACTTTTATCTGTCTGTTGAGCAATAGAACTGACCCGAGGCGGAAAAACTGAGGTATTTCTGTTTTCCACTGGTGGACTCGTAGAACTTGAGAATGTCGAGGACGGCCTGAGGATTCTGTTTTTGTTCTGATTTACTGATGTTGGAGGTCTGGAGGAGACGGGCCCACTGCTCCGGCATGCCCTGGAACAACACGCACACATTTAAAAATCATATACAAAGATCTATCTATAAAAGCTAAGCTAACCATCCGATGGCTCCAGCTACATATTCAACACACAGACATGAGAGCGATATCAATCTTTAGTAAATCACTAGTCTGAAAATATTCTTTATTCTGATTTATTGTTTACAAATACCTGATGTAAAATGTCACATTATTACGGTTAGATACTTACAGTGAACTCTCCTGTGACAGCATCAAAACCCACATGGATGGTGTGTTCAAAGTCTGAGGGGGAGGAGATCTCAGGCCTATCCTTGTCCCGGTCCTTCTTCCTGCCTCCTGCAGGGAAAGGTCAAGGGTCAATGTGTTGGTCATCAACTGCAATGTATGCGTTGTGTTTTTTTTCCCACTGTGTGTGTGTCCATGTATATGTGTCAGTTCTCCACAATCTCTCACCTTTCTCAGAGGCAAACATGGAGATGATCTTGTTTCTGGACTTCCTCTCCTCCGGTACAGACGGCAGCGGCCGAGAACTGTGATTGGCTGACTGGGAGTCCTTGGGTCCTCCTTGGCTGCTCATCCTGACAGGGGGGGCGGGGGGCTTATCCTCACACACTCCGCTGTCACACATCTACACACACGTACACCTGCACAAATGACAATGCACAGAAGAAACACAGTAAGTCTGTTACAGGCTCAATCACTGGTTCCTGTTTTTGTTTTAAATTTCACAATCCTAGCCAAAGCTGTACATGTTAGCCAAAACTGCTACCGGGAAACAGCTCTAAACCACGTAAAGCTTAGCCTACATTACACAGAGAAAGAAACAGCTTAACAAATGAAGAAAAACTCACACGGACCTAACTAATCCATCCATGCCCCAATCTGTGGCTCGGCACTGAGTTTTGGAGCGAAGAGAACAGAGAGTGCGAACAGGAAGCAACACCGAACGGGCAAAGTGACGTGTTGAGTCTCGTTCAATGTTAAAAATGAATGAGGAAGGAAAGGAGGCAGAGAGAGAGAGAGAGAGAGAGGGAGAGAGAGAGAGAGAGAGAGTAAGTGAGTAAGTGAGAGGGTGAGCAAGAAGCTGACAGCTGGAGTTAAAGGGGGAGAAGTGAAGAACAGCGAGTTGGACAGAGTGAAACTTCAGAAACGTGACATAAAGAACTGTCAAGAACTGCTACTACTTTAATGCAATTTTAGAGGGAAATATTCTACTATTTCATGCCACTTTTACTATTTGAAAGGTACCGTTGCTACCTACTTTTCAGATGATGACTGTGTGTGATATTTACATTAAAATATATGAGAATATAACACATATTGAATGTATAAGAAAAATACAATGATTGTTTCCAATCTTTTTGGCTGTCAGTGTCTCGGGTCCTTTTTCATATTTTTGATGTCTTTTGGATTGTTAGCAGTTCCAAAAATGACATTCCACCTCTAAAATTATTAGTTTTATAAATCCACAATTAATCATCTCACATCCACTCACATTTATCTTGTGACTCTTTGGAGGGGGCCGGCCAGTAGGTTGGGAACATTATGTTACTTGTTGCATACTTTTGTGCTTTTACTGAAGTTGGTTTTTGAATGAAAGACTTCTACTTATAATGGAGCATTTTAACATTTCTGTATTGGTTACTTCTTCCACCACTCTAAGCGTTATCCATTACCCTAATATGGTGAAAACTGAGATTGTAGACAAACGCACAAACACAACCTTAAACCACAAAAGCACCTCTTTCAGTCTTGCAGAGCAAGCAGCTTGATCGACTCTAAGCTGCAGCCTGCATTCTTGGTGACATCACAGACAGGATACAGGAAGCAAACAAAGGTTTCCTCACTTCCTGTGTCTGACCGCCGATGACACAGCGCGTATTAAAACCCCGGATAACAGACGTGGCTCAGGTATGCGTGTGACCTCGTTTTCACACATAAATACTCCTCCTGCAACATCTCTGCTGACCTGCCTCACCTCCAACACTCAACACCACAAAATACATGAAATCAGGCTCCACCTGGGAAGATATCCTCATACAGACTCCTTTCCTTATGACATAAAAAATAATGTCACACAAGCTGATGTCCTCAGGCTGAAGACACATCACTACACTGCACTAACTAGACTCAAGGCTGTATTTTTCCCTCCCTGCATATCGTTGTAGCGTATGTCTGATGCTCTATGATGGAAGCAATCCCAGCTATATTTACAATGTGGCACATCATTATAAAAGAACAGCCCAATGAGCTTGTCCAGCGACAGAGAATGAGACACTCCCCTAACGCTCCCAGACTTCTTTTCAGTGTCTTCGCCTCTTCTATATAAGCTGCTAAGTACTCACCTGTTTGTTGCCTCTTCTGTGTCCTACAGAAGATCAGGTAAACAATGAAAACTGTTGTATTCCCAGCAAGTGTATGCAGCTCTTTCTCTAGTGCTCATCTATCTACCTAGCTCTAACTGTTTCCTTACCCCTCTTTCTCTCTTTTCAGTCTTCTCGGGGCATGTCTTAGCAGGCTGCCTCATTCCTCAGCGATCTTGGATGGGACAAGTATATTCTTGCCCTGGCAGGATAAAATTAGACCCAGTCCAGCTTTAATGTGCATTTTTTCAAAGTCTGTGTGTGTGTGTGTGTGTGTGTGTGTGTGTGTGTGTGTGTGTGTGTGTGTGTGTGTGTGTGTGTGTTGGACTGAATGTTGGGTGCTGGCTGGCCAGGCAGAGACAAGTTGTCTCTCAGTAGGAATTCCATAGCTACAGGGCTGCAGGGGTTGGGCGTGATCTCTCCACACACACACACACACACACACACACACACACACACACACACACACACACACACAAGGCTCCTCCTTATGCAGGCCCTGTCTCTCACACACACACACACACACACACACACACACACACACACACACACACACACCCCACACACACACACACACACATTCCCTGCACTAAAACACACACACTCCCCTTGCCAACAGGGGCTCCATTGTGAGCACATGAACATCTTTTTTGTAGCTTCGAGCTAAGCTTACTGGGCGCAGTAGAAAAAACTTTGAGGGGAACAGGCAGGTGCACACATCAGCTCTGCAGGCTGCAAGCTTGTGTGTTTGTATAAGTGAACAATCCCAGTCATTGCTACAGTGATTTGTTCGTATCAACAGAAAATTCTGAAATTTAGAACTAGAACAAATGCCAAAGATTTGCTAGTTACAGAAATGTTCAACAGTAAACAGCAGAAAGGTTAACTATCTATCTAATCTAAATATCATGGCATTATAATGATGTGAAATAGAGAAATGCAGTGGTCCTATCATAAAACAATCATATGGTGAACTTAGTGTGGGGAGCCAACCACTGACAGTATATATAAGGAACAAACTAATGATTATCTTTATTGTCTATTTTTGGAGATGTTTTTTTATTTTAAATCAACTAATCGTTTAATCTGTACAATTTCAGAAAATAGTCAAAAATTAGCCCAAGGTGAAACATCTTGTTTAGTCCAACTAACAGACCAAAATACAAAGAATGATTTCTTTTGGTTATATAAAAATGAGAAAAGTAGCAAATCTCACATTTAAGAAGCTATACATTTCACTTTTTTTTTTTTTTTAAAGTCAATCAAATAATAAAACTGTTATTTTTCTGTCTCGATTTATTGACTAATTGTTTCAGCTCCAATGATTTGGATATGTTCCCTCTCTTGCCTTCATGCTTTTATTTTTTATGTTGTATTCCCTCCGACTCTGCATCCTTGGTTACCACACACACTATTTTACAGCCAACTGCATCTCTCGCCTGTTCTCCATTCACAGACAGACACTGTCTTTTCAGTATCACTGTGGGACTGTCACATCCCTCTGCCCTTTAAAATTTCTATTCCTCATTCTCTGCTCTCTCCCTGCACCAGAAGACTTTCTATTCCCTGTGGCTGCCAGCCATCAAGGGAAGCCCACTTCCTCATCCTGGAACTCCCCGAGCCCCAGAGGGTCACAGCACCAGGCCGGCCAACCAGAGTGCGGCAAACACAGCCGCCGAGCTGTTTACAGGAAGTGGACAGCAAGCCTTTTGTATTCGGCTTCTATAAAAGGAAATTCTGCGGAGGACTTCCTGGAAGGAGTGATGAAGCCGACACACAAACACTCTACCCCCTTTTCATTCACTAACACAGAAACATACAGATACACACAGACAGACCTAAAAACACACGCGTGTGTACCATGTTGCACACACACACACACACAGTCACTACCTCGGCTCCACCACCTTCTACAATCACTTCACTGATTATAGGTCTTGCAGTGAATGAAACGTAAACACACTGCCCAGCTGCACACCCACACTGAACACCTTATCCTGTTATTCAAATAGCTGCCTCACCCCTGTGTCAACACTCTGATGAATCAAATCACCAACCTGGCAACTTGAAGTCTCGGGCCGCTGTCAAAACTTGACTCTACAACTTGGACCAGATACAAACCTAGCCTCGGGACTCACAGTCAAAGTCTGTTAGTTTCAGGGTCACAGTGTATGAATGACTGGTTAAGTTTACCTGCAGGATTACAAGTGTGTCCTGTCACAGATCTATACACTGTCTGTGTTTACAGGCAAGGCCATTATCAAGATTTTAGGAAATCCAGAGAGCGTGAGTCCAGACTGCCAGGGTGAAACCCACACTGTTCCATTATACTTTCCGTTATCTCCCTTACATGAAGGTCTATATGCTGTCTTCTCCACACTGCCAGGAAATACTGATATCTGGTGTCCTCAGTGGTAGCTTCGGTTCTGTTTGCAGATATCAAACATTTAGGACGTATTAGAGGTGATGAGCAACTAAACAGGACGGTTTTTTTTAAGAATAATGATACATTTTTGAGCACTTTTAACTGCTACTGCTCCTCTTAGACAAGAAACACCATGAAATAAGAAGGATGTGCAATATAACAGTGACAGTTTCCAAACTTGGAGGTGAAAAAATATCCATTAAACCACACTGAAAACATAAACAGGTGTGTACCGTTGCTACACATAGCCTACAAACTGTATGTATGTTGTAGACTACATTGTTCTATTGTTGTTCCATTTTATTAACCCAGCTTATGAACTGCTTCTGAAATATTTATAGGCCCATTTAAGTGAAGTAGCCTAGACTGCTGTTAGTGCAGATGCTCTGTCCTAACATACTATTACAATACTATAGTATCCCTGTAGACTGTCTTTACTTTGGTTCAAATTAAGAAGAAAGCAAACATCAAATCCCACAAACACTAGGATCTGGATCTGTTGCCTGCTATACTTTATTTGTATCCCTTCAGGAGACTTTAAGAGAAGATAACACTTGTCTTCACAACAACTATGGAGGAACATGCCTGAACCCTGAATGCTTTTCATGTGCCAGAAAAAAAAAAAACAGTAAGCAGTTACCAAACTATTATAAAATAAGCAACTTATAAATATACAAGAGACTGACTATGTTGAATGAGCAAATAGAAACTCACCGGCTGCTGTCAACCGCAGAAAATACCAACCACACTCCGTCCAGAACTACTGAAACTCCTCCCCGTCTCTGCTGATTTCCTCTCCGTTTAAAAACCCAGATTTGACGCCGAGATTTCACTAACTTCCCCGGGGTGGTGGGAGGGTGTAAAAAAAAAAAAAAACCGATATCGTCTTATACCACACAGACTTTAATTCCTGTCTCTTTCCCCAAGCACTCTTAGCCTGGCTCTTTGCTTAGGGGAGGAGCCTGGCGGGGAGGAAGCGGAACCAAATCTCGCGGCTTCCGTAGCGCTAATTGGGCGAAGCACGGCGAAAAGCAAAGGGCGGGTAAAAACGGCAGCCAGCGGGATGATGGTGGTGAGTTGCGGCCAGCGAAAACAAACACCAGCACCGCGGCAGAGACGATAACAAGGTTGACAACCGCGGAGGAGAAGCAAGTACGACATTGTTAACGTAACAGACAAATTACACACTCTGTAATTATTTAATATTATATTATTTTAACGCTACAAAACATTTCCAGACGAGTTAGTAATGTTTAACTGAGTAGCTAGCTAACATCAGGCTAAGTTATCGTAACAGCTATGAAATGAAGCGACGAGTGTGATAAGCCTGTGTTTTATTATTATTATGTCTTTTGGGGTAGCTTGTTTAACTATTCAGCGAGATTTAACCAACAGGAATAACGTTAATGGTTGTTCACTGCGCGTAAACTTTAACTGGGTTGCACCAGCTATGTAGAAGTTATCTCTTTAATTATGGTGTAAAGTCGACACTAGAGGCTTACTAGTTAGTTTAACTAAACCAGCTACTAAAACTGGGTTGCACCACTATTATTATATTATTTTTAGGGTTTAACTAAACTAAAGTCATACCTGAGGCAAGTGGTCATCACCATGGTTACCGTACGCTTTCCTGCTGGTATGAGCCACATGGCTTCGTAGCGTATCGTAGTAAGTTAAGTTAGATAATGACATATATCAATACATTTTATGATTTACACCCCCTCAGGGCAGGGGTAACTTAGAGTTAAGTTGTATCATATCTCCGTGGTGCAACTTCTTTTATTTTAGTACGGCTCACGTCTCAACTTAGTAATCATTTACGTTATAACTAGGCTATCTTTGAACTTACAAACTGCAACTGACTGCTGTTTGTAAAGTAGTTTGTTACGTTACTTGGTTCTACTTTCCTGCAGCACCATCTCTGTGCACCCAAAGGACAGGTGTGTGTGTGTTGGCTGTTGAGAAGGTGCTCCCAGCTGTCTTAACTTTCCTCCTTTTTTTTTAGTGGCTGTAAAGATGTGTCTTTGTGTGTGCTGCAGGTGGCATGTTTTCCCACAGGTGGAGGTTTGGTTCCAACAGGTTCACTGAGGTGGACCTCTTCACGGACCGCCATGAGACCACTGCAGAGACTCTCTCCCAGGCCATCAGAGATACAGCGGCTGAGGAGCCCGATGCAGACGGCAGCGTGCTGTTCGGCAGTCTGCAGGGCACTGTTGTTGGCCTCAGATACTACACAGGGGTGGTGAGGATCAATCAGTGTCACCTTTATTCCTCTAGTGCACTGAATCACTGAGGAGACGAAACAGAACTGCCACAGATTGGCCACATAGTGCTGATATAGATGGACAAAACCTTAAAATCGTCTGTGTTTGACTCTCTGGATAGGTGAATCGTGGGGAAATGGTCGGTTTAGTGCGACAGCCCCAGAATCCATACGACCCCAATGCAGTGATGGTCGCCAACATTTATGGCAACCAAGTGGGTCATATTAAACGAGAGCTGGCAGCAGCTATGGCCAGCGTCATGGACAGAAGTTTGGCTAAAGTAGAAGGGTGAGTAGGTTGTTATTGACCTGCTGACATGTTGGATGTCAGAAAGACTAAAATGTCTGCTATTGAAATCTTCTCCCCAAAAAATACCTGTATCTCATTACTTTTTATTTACTCCTTTTTCATATTTTTATTGTTTTATTGTCGTTTTAACTATTCAGGGTGGTACACTCAGGGACGAAAAACTCATTCAACATGCCAGTGATGCTGTCCTTCTGGGGAAAAGAAGAGAACAAAACTGCTGTGATAGAAACCATGGCACGTCGCGGATATAAACTAAACATGGGTGGAAGCAAACCAACAGGTACGAATGCAAAAAAAACCAACTCACATTTATCCATGTAACCCACATTGTTGCATTAGAATTGGCGGTTTTCAGTCATAGCCATTAACTACACTGTTAATGCCGTGAGTTTACACCTGTATGTGTTTGATTTCAGGTGCAAATCAGGGACCATATAGTAGTCAAGGTGCATTGGCATCTAAAAAAGGCTTGACCATCCCACTAACTGCAGAGGAGGTAATCTACTTAGATTTAGTGAATGTATTATTAACAGTATAGCACAACATCTATACAATATCTGGTATTTATTTTAGCAAAAATGCAATGTACATTTGTTTTGGTCTGTTAAGTAAAATCACAGAACAATATCCTTCTCATTTCCTGTCAGTATTTGACAGTTGATTCTGATTTATTATTATTATTATTATTATTATTATTATTATTATTTTAGATCTACTCAACTGTCATATTAAAACAAAATAAATTTAACCATGTCATCTGCACCCGGTAATGTTAATGTCTAGTCACATTGTGTGTTTAATGCTAAAGTTCCCTATTTTTTGGACTTTTTGGTGCTTAGAGAATTCATTGTTGTTGCTTTATGCTAAAATTATGTTAAAGTACTTTACATTTGCAGTCATGCTTTTAAACATTGTGAAACAGTAAAATTAAGGCTTAAGCCAGCAGTTGTACCTTTTTTTTTTTTAACACTTTTAAAAAAAAACTTTTTTCTTTTAGCTGAAGAATGCATTTGACACCCTATTTGAAGGCTTGATGGAGAGTATAGATGGAGAAAAAGAAGCAGCCAAGGTATGTATCTGATCTGTTTAGCTGTCTGCATTTTGTGTATCTGTTTGTGGTCTCAACTGTTCCTCTCTCAGTGTGTCACTAACTAATGATTGCATGTTGTTTCCTATTGTTTGAATATTGTTTTTAATCTCAGATTATTTTTTACTATATCCACTAAATGTAAAATGTAAAAAAACAAAGGGTTTGTTTTACAAGAATATTATTGGAGCCCTTTAGCTTAGACTCATTGCTTCTGGTCATTTATTATGCTGCTGATTTAGAAACTGGAGCTTATTCTAAAATTGGAAACATTGTATGTCACTGTGGATAAAAGCATCAGCTAAATTTTGGCAAAATGATGTCAGCAAGTGGTAAATTTGTACTTTGCACTTACATAGTGCCTTTCTAGTCTTCCAACCACTCAAAGTGCTTTACAGTACAGGTCACATTCACCCAAATTCACACCTGACCTCTGTGTTGTCACCTCCTTGCACCCCAAATAATAGTTACGGTATATTTCTATTGAAGTGCAGCTTTAATGTGAACATTAGGCCCATTGTCTCTGCAGGCTGTGGGTACTCCTCTCCTGCCCCACCAGAAGCAGGCGCTGTCCTGGATGTGTGCTCGAGAAAACAAATCTGCATTGCCACCCTTCTGGGAGAAGAGAGGTGAACTGTACTATAACAGCCTCACGTGTTTCTCTGCGAAAGAAATACCAGAGAGAGTTCGTGGGGGAATACTGGCAGATGACATGGGACTGGTGAGTAACACACACACACACACACACACACACACACACACACACACACACACACACACACACACACACACACACACACACTTGCGAAATGTGTTAATTTTAGACTGTTCTGTGATGTAATATCATTTCCGTAAAAAAAAAAAAAAAAATTGAATTTCTGTATATTGTAGCGAAAACTGTTCAGTTTTAGTTCAATTCAGGCTGGTTAACGTGATGTATCTACAATTAAAAGAAGGAAAGATAAAACTAAAACTGTCAATTTACCATAAAAGTCTGCTGCGATCAAAGCAGACATGAATCAATACTGTTTGTGTTTTCCAGGGAAAAACTCTGACAACGATTGCTCTGATCCTCACCAACTTTCACAAAGGAAAGCCCCTGCCCGTGGAGGAATGTGTAAGTGTAGCAGTGCATGAATGTGTTTGTTTGTTTTTTCAATCAGAATGCAGTCTGAGTGACTTGTGTTCAATCCTTATTAAGTGCTTGTTTACATGTGTGCAGGAGGAGAAGTCTTCACCAATGAAAACCAAAACTAAAGCACAGAAGGCCTCCAAACTGCAAGGTGCTCTCAACTTTCAATAAATTAGTTGCTGCGGATTCATTGATTTTTATTTTTCCCCCTCAGTTTTCCCTTATCTCTCATCATGAGGGTGTGTGTGTGTAAATGTGCACATGCTTGCATGCAAGAAAACAGAGCACCAACAGGAGAGAGACAATGTGGTGTCTTTGTTTCAGGAAGCAGCTGTGCAGGAGATAGAGCAGGAGTGAGTGATGCAGCAGCTGGTTCTCTAAGCTCAGACCTGTAAGTGGGATTTCACTGAATTTGACTTGCTCTGATTGTATTGTCAGTAATGTGTGTTTTCTCATGTATTATTAAAACTGCATAATTTGATCATGTGTAAAAGCAAGAATTCAAATGACTTACTGCATCTGGAAATACATATGTTGTCCGTCAGTCTGTAAAATATAGTAATGTTTGGGCCATCAATGGTATTATTGATTTAGGTGAATTTTATTCCAATGGCTTACTTTCTTCACGGGAGTGAGTTAAGTTTTCTCTTACATAACCTGAGATTCTCCTGTGTGGGTCAGTCCTCAGGTGGAGGTGATCTCTGTTGATTTGCCAGATGTAGTAGCGATTGTGGACAAGTCAGATAAAAGTAAGAATTGATTGTCGTCTTCATGTATATCAGCTTTTAATTTGTAAATGTCTGTTCATGCTATTTTTTCCTGACTCTTCCGCTTACAGGTACGAGCAAAGGGAAAATGAAAGCCACCAAGCGAAAGCCCAATAAAGGTACAAGCCTAGTCTTTGTATATGTGCACCATAATATGTAATTCGTGTTTTTAAATTTTAAATTAACAATATCCTTCATCTGTGTGCTTACTGTGCAGAAGCTCCAGTATTTCTTGAGGATCTAGACTTTGCTGCAGCACTCGGTGGCTCAGCATCAGATATAAGCTCAAAGAAGAAGAAGATTGCCAAGAAGGCCACTCCCACCCCAAGTGAGTTCGGACAGTGTATTTTCTCACTGTATGTTTCTTGTACTGTGTTAATTTAGTGAATGAAAGTTATATGCAGTGCTAAACTGTGTGTATCTTTTTCTATGTGTAGGTGTGGAATCCTCCATCACTGAAACTGCAGATGACTTATCAGCCAGAACGACTCTCATCATCTGCCCGCTCTCGGTGATTAGCAACTGGCTGGTAGGAATACATTGTTACATAAGAAAACACACAGAAAGACACATCCTCTCACTGAATTCATTTATATACTGTTCTGCTAAGTACCTTGATTCAGATGAATAAAAAGAAAGGGAGGCTTCTGGCTACTCTTAGTTAAAAAATAAATAAATGAATGCAACACAAGGTGTCATTGAACAGCAAGAGAAACATTAATATAATATTTTACATTCTGTAGGCAAACAATCTGTGTTCATTTTGTAAAATTCTGTCTGCAGTGCCACATTAAATGGTATCATTCCATCCTTGAAGTCAGCATGTGTTATGTTTTCTTCCTCTGTCCATGCAGGACCAGTTTGAGCAACATGTACGTGCTAACGTGAAGCTAAACGTGTATCTGTATTACGGCCCAGATCGCAATAGGAGCAAAAAGTTTCTTTCCTCTCAGGACGTGGTGATCACCACTTACAACGTCCTCTCTGCCGACTTTGGGGTGAGTGTAGCCAGGTCACACACAGAAAAACAGACTACAGACAACCATAATATGATGGTGTGTTGATTTATTTTGATAAGTAAAATCCTCTAATGGGAGCAAATTAATGTCTGTCCTGAAACCTGGACTGTATGTTTCATATTATGTGTGTGTTTCCCTTTCAGAATAAGAGTCCCCTCCATGGAATCAATTGGCTGAGGGTTGTACTGGATGAAGGGCATGTTATAAGAAACCCTAATGCACAGATGAGTAAAGCTGTGCTTGACCTCAAAACTCAGCGGCGCTGGATTTTGTCAGGTATTATTGCACCTTAACACACAAACACACTCACAGATCCAACATATAAATATACTTAGGCATGGTGATCAATGTCTACCGCAAATAATCATTCTGACTGACTATCTATCCCGTCCAGGTACTCCTATCCAGAACAGTGTGAAGGACCTGTGGATGCTGCTGGCTTTCCTGCGTCTGAAGCCCTTTGATGTGAAAGAGTGGTGGAACAGAGTGATCCAGAGACCTGTTACTCAAGGAGACAGGGCCGGCCTTCAGTGAGTGCTCTCAGATACACTGTGGTGTATTCCCTATGCATACTTAGGCTTCCTCATGTTGCCTCTCCCCCATCACCTGAAATATAAATTTCAGTATCGCAATTGTGTTATTTTACATAACTTGTTACTTTACTAGTTACAGCCAAATGTAGTTTGGAATTGGAGTTACTGCCAACACTGGTTCATGAGACAGTTGCGTAGGAGAGGGATGAGTAAATTAAAAGTTGCAAATAAACTCCTGTACACTGTCTGACTTGCGATAAGGCATTTATTTGCGACCTTTCGATGCTAGGCCCTAATCAAGCAAATGTTTGTTGTATTTAGCACAGCAAAACTACAAAGATCACAGCTTTTAGTGATTAACAAACAGCTAGTTAATTAACAGATACACTTGTTTTTTTTAATCCAAAGGGACTGTTCTGGTTGCACTTTTTGTCTATTTAGACAGTAGAAGTCTGTGTACACACTATATAGGTTAACTAGATGTGCTAACAAACTATGTTGAGTCAGTTCGAGTGAGTTTTGGATGAAAGTTTGTAATTTTGGTTAATATGCATTTGTTATGTTTTTGTTGTTGTTATTATTATTATTATTATTATTATTATTATTATTATTATACTGCTGATAATCAGACATCAGATTACAGAATAAACTCAGGCAATTCATACTGTATGCAGGAACCTTCAGACCCTGGTGAAGTGCATCACCCTGCGGCGGACCAAGAGCAGTGAGGTGAATGGGCGCCCTCTCGTGTCTCTGCCTGAGAAGACAGTGTGTGTGGAGCAGGTTGAGCTGAGCCAGCCAGAGCGAGAGGAGTATGAGCTGGCACGAAATGAGGGAAAAAACACCATTGGCAGGTATGTGTCAGTGTGTGTAAGTACATGTGCAAGTACATGTGCAAATTTAACATCCTGATAAAAGTGATGAGCAACAATTAGCCGATGAAACCATTTTGACAGAACATATGGTTGTTCATAGATTTTATGTTAGATGTCACAGGGATGTTATTATCTTTTTACTGTAAACTGTTGTTTAATTTGTCTTAACTGTCTGTGTGCGTAGATATGTAGCTGAAGGGACAGTCTTGAGGAATTATGCTGATGTCTTGGCTATCCTGATGAGGCTTCGACAGTACTGCTGCCACCCTGATCTGCTGGCAAAAACATCCTCAGACTTGGGTAGTGTATAGCTTCTGAACCCTGGGGTCACTTTATAAGCAAACAATCATGCTGAAGATTTCTAATGATTTATTTGATCGATATAGTCAGGTTTACTTCTGTGGTGTTTGCCAGATCAGTTTCTGTACAGTTTATGTACATGATATGTAGAGTATAAAGGACAGTTTGCTAAGCGTGTGTGTTTTAGTTAGATTTCTTTCGTCTGGCATAATTTATACTTGCAAATTGATCAAATATTGTGCTTCTAGGTGCTGCAGCAACGCCTGCAGAGCTGCGGGAGCGTATGATAGAGAAGTTGCGGTTGGTGTTGGCCAGCGGCTCTGACGAGGAGTGCTCTGTGTGTCTGGACTCCGTCCGTCTGCCCGTCATTACACGCTGCGCCCATGTTTACTGCCGACCCTGCATCGCCCAGGTTATCAGCAATGAGCAGGTACATGTGTTGCCGTCAGCAGACAACTCCGGTTTGTAATCCAATTCTCTTTGGACAGTTAGGAAAGTTGTAATTACTATGTAATAGGTTATTTAACTGCCAATTATTAACAGATCCATCTTTTATCCGTGCTCTGTCTGTGCATAGGAAAAGGCACGCTGTCCTCTCTGTCGAAGTGAGATCAAGACCAGTGAACTGGTGGAGTTTCCTCAGGACGAAATGGAGGAAGAGAGCAGTACAAACTCTGAGAAGTGGAGGACAAGCTCAAAGGTACACTGCACGTAGTCTGCAGAATAAACTAGGGGTAAAAATAGTAACAACACTGTGTAGACCTCTCAAAAATGCAGAACACTATTTTTTTAAACCTTAAAAGGAAATGTGCTTGAGTTGAAGTTGGACTTGCAAGATGTTCTGGTGCTGTGTAAAATCCTTCATTTTAAGTTCCCTACAAATCATTTTAGTATCCTCTTACATCCATTGCTTTAACATTCTTTTCTTTTTTTCTTCTCAGCAGAAAATAAAATGCTCAAATACAAAATTGCCCTGAATTCCATCTTTCCATACACATCTGTATTCAGTTGAGAGCCAACTCAAAAGGCCTTGAGAATGAGGTGTACTGGACTGACTTTTGGAGTCTCAACTTATTACTGATTTAGTAGCTCTTCTGATCCTGGTGTTTTTTGTGACTCTTTCCCCTTTTCGCTCAGAGGTCACGCAAAGCATCTTCTTCAGCAAAGTGACAGTGATGTTCCTCCTTTTAAATCCTGTTTCTGTGCCTTCAGGTGCAAGCGCTGCTGGGAAATCTGCTCAGGCTGCGATGTGAAGACAGCAGCATTAAGTGTTTGGTTGTCTCTCAGTTTACACGCTTCCTCACCGTACTGGAGACTCCACTCAGGTAATGCACACATTTACAGTTGAGGCTCCAGCAACTTTTGAGTGGAGAATTTCTAGATTTCATTCATTTAATTATTTGTTGTGTTATTTTATGACTCGCCTCCATTGTCCTCCCTCCTCTTTGCTAGAGAGCATGGTTTCAGTTTTGTGCGTTTGGATGGCAACATGAGCCAAAAGAGGAGGGCTCAAGTCATCCAGGAGTTTCAGAGCTCTGCAGCCGACAGCCCTGCCATCATGCTTCTGTCACTCAAAGCTGGAGGGGTGGGGCTTAACTTGACCGCTGCCTCTCGTGTTTTCTTGATGGACCCTGTAAGTACTGATTTTGGCCAGGAACCAGACACATTCACACATACTGAACAACCATTGTTTGGTGCATGCTGAAGGGGTTTTACATGGCTATATACAGTGCATTGTCACTACAGGTTTGCTGACACTTTAAAATTTAAAAACATGAGTCGTGGCCTAAGTGTGTAAATAAAGTAAAATGTTCAGACCAGGACATGTACTTTTTTGCTTTGATAACTTTTTCCCTGTTTCGCTATATTGGGATATTTTGACAGTAGCCGTGACAAAGGGTAAATTATTGAATATATTCAGATTTTATTTTGTGTTAAGATTTCCTGCAGAAGTAGCAGAAGCACAATTTCACATATATACATATGACTATTGTGTCACTTTTGTTTAGGCCGTCATCTACTAAATAAGTTGATCACCAAGAAAGCAATAAATAGAAAAACAGACTGATGTTGAAAGTGTAACTGTGTGTTTTAGGCATGGAATCCTGCTACTGAAGAGCAGTGTATCGACCGCTGCCACCGTCTGGGACAGAAGAAGAAGGTCGTCGTCACCAAGGTCAGAAAACTAGAACTCTGTATGTGGGAGTGCGTTTCCTGTCTGTGACGAGGCATCACATTTTCCTCAGTAGTTTCTGTACTGTGTGTAATGTTACACCGTGAAGGCTGAAAAAGATCGCTGACTATATTTTGTATTTTGTCGGTTGCTGCAGTTCATTGTGAAAGATTCAGTGGAGGAGAGCATGGTGAAGATCCAGAGGAAGAAGCAGGACCTGGTGGAGAAGGCTTTCGGCCCCACGAACACTGATAGGAAAACATCTCGCATTGATGACATAAAAGCTCTGATGGAGCTTTAGACAGACAGTGGACATTGAAATGTCTGAGTTGTCTTTGAACAGTTCTCTTTCGGGCCTCACAGTTAACATGTGAAGGGCTGCGTAGCTTGCTTGCAAACATTGTCAATGTTTTGTGCATATTTTGAAAAGTGATTGTTTCTTTTATAGTTTATCATGTTCTAAATTTTCTTTCTACTTCTATTTAATTACTATTTTGATACTGGTTTACTTACAGGATGCATGCGTAGGACTTGTGTGTCTTTGATTTATGATGAGCTCCGCTAATGCACGGAGTTGGCTGAGTGTGTTGAAAGTTAATACCCTGGGATAAAGACTGGGGAGAAATACCAACCTGTAGCTTAACTCTTCAGGTTGTCAACCATGAAGATTAAGATGTTCTGTATGTTCCATTTTGTTGGATTAAAGAAATACAGACCACTGATATTGTACATTTGTAGCTACTGTAAATGCAGCAGCTTTCAGAACTTCATAGCTTTTCAAACAAAAACATGAAGTTGAAGAAGGAAAATAATTACATAAGTGTGCATCAGATTAGAGCAGAAGCAGTTAATCATTTAGTCAATTTTGTCAATCATTTATGTGGGTTTCTTTAAAGTGCTTTTCAAATGTGAGGATTCGATGCCTTTCTCTGTTTTGTCACATGTTGGACAAAACAAAAAAAAGGCCACCTTTTCTATATTGTGACATTTCATAGACTAATGAATGATTAATTGCTTCCCTGTATCCAATCAATAATACATGGTGTATAAAGAAAAAAAGCTCAAGGCAGAAGGGATGGATAAAAGGTTTTTCACCAGTTCTTTATTAGCGCTTCAACAGGGATGTACAGTTAACAGCTGGGGAACAGGACAGACCTGCTTTAACCGATGTCACTACAATTATGTTCCACTTCCACACTCATGCAGATTTAGGATTTAGCAGGCTGACGAGATCAGAAAGATCGCATATGGACTTTTCTCTCAACCTTGCCAGCCTCTTGGTTGAAGTGAGGAGAGTATTCTCATTGTTAGGAGCTATAGATTATAGTTTTAGTTTAAGGGCACAAAGCAGGAGTGAAGTAAAAGGAGGAACTCAGTTTGTTGTGCTACTAGCAGCAGTTACAGTAAGTGAGGTTTTGTAAACAGTAAACGGCAATAAGGCAGCTGGTAACACTACAGACGGGAAGTGATGAAACAATACATGGCACAGAGATATACGGATGTTGGTCTGGCAGGAACATTACATGCAGGGCACGCGTACATGTGACATGTCTGGGAAAACGCACAAATACATACAAATCAGACTTAATATCACTTGAGGATGTGGGTCGACTTCATTACCGACCCACGTTTGAACTCTGTGCCATGCAAATACAACACAGCAGGCTCTGACCATAGAGAGAATAATAAGGGGATGGAGCTTCTGGGAATTTCCTTAAATCTGTATTCTTTCTAATGGCCAGCAGGAGGTGACCCTGGTTGCAAAATAAGTCCAATTGTATGTAAGTTTATGAGAAAATACGTATCACTTGATTTTTTTTTACCGTCACTAGTGTAAAGTGTAAAGCAGGGTATACTTTAGGGTGTGGCTACCTTGTGATTGACAAGTCGCTACCATGATTCAGGTTCTCGGTCAGATCCAATCAGGATAGAGGCGTAGCAATGCATATCCTCCGCAGCTCCAGCTCTCGTTCGAATATGGTCACCTTGGTTTAAAAAAACCAAGATGGCGACGGCCATAATGTCAAACCTGAGGCATCAAAGCCAGTGTGTGACATAACAGTGACTCCATCCATTATTTATTATACAGTCTATGGCCCTGAACCTAACACAATACCAGACATTACAAAGCTGAAGTCACAGGGAGCTGGTGAGTGTCAGAGGCACAGGTAGGGACGGTTATCTGTGTACTCAGGTGAGGTGAACACTGTCTGACTAAAGCAGGATTTTTATAACTGGCTGAAAAGCAGAGCAGAGACTGTAAGAGGTAAGTGAGCCAGTCACTGCATATCTGCTTCAAAGTGGTTTAGAGAGACTTATTGCAGGTTAAGAAATGTGGTCAAATCCAGAAACAACTTTTAAACTTATTGATTTCCCTTTAACCACAGGCCATTTCCACAGTTTCTGTTGTTACTGAAAGTTTCCACAGGTTAGGAAGACTGAATCCATCTCCATCAGATGCACAAGAACACTTTTAGGAATATGAAGTCTGACATTTTGGGAAGTAACGTTACTTCGCTTTCTTTTTAAGAGCTGGATGGGAAGATTATGTCTGTGTGGTATAGCCACTGCCTGGCACAAAGACTGCAACCAGATTAACCTGGCTCCGTCCAAATGCGACAGAATCCACCAACCAGCACCTTTAAAACTTTCTACTCTGGGTGGGGAAAGTGCAAAGCAGCACTTGCTCCTCCTTTGATACAACAAAAAAATGTGTTTTACAGGTCGTTATATGTCAAATTCCTCCAATTTTTCACATAAACTACAACTGCAATTGTATCAGGGTGGCCACACTCAGCCCTTGGTGCTACCGCTGCTTGGCAAGAAAGCAAATGAGTGTTTTCATTTCCCCAAAATGTCAAACTTTTCCTTGGAGAGAAAATAATGAATGGTAAGAGTGCATGGGAAACTGTGTCAAACTCTCTGTCATTCAAACACACACTGACAGGAAGCAGAGAGTGAGGCTGAAACTTGCGCAGAGGCATTCCCCCAGTCACCTGCTAATGAAGCCCCCGTGATTGGCTGAGCAGCGCTTAAATTCCCACCCACACAGGGCTTCAAACTGCTGCTCTCTCTGTCCGTCACGCCCCCTCGCCCCCCTCGCCCGCTACTTTAAGAAGGAGTCAAGCTTTCGCTCGATGTTGGCGAAGGAGTCGTCACCCATGTAGTCAATCTGGCCCGCTTCCCAGCGCTGCTTCCTCTCCTCTGATGAAACCTTCTGCGGAGGAGGAGCAAAGGGTGCCGACGGCTCTCTCACATCTTCATGAAGCTTATCCTGCGTGACAGACAGAGAGAATGAATGAATCACTAAATGGGATTGGAGCAATACTTTATAAGGACAGGTTTCCCCCAAGTTCAGCCTTGCTCAGCTGGACAATCTTTTCTACGGTTAAGACACGAGAAGTAAATGTAGGTGTTTCCTCAGATGAGTCAAAGTACAGAGAAGACATTTTGCAACACACTTGCTTGTAGATAAGAGTTGTGTATCGGCGTGTTTCTCACATGAAGAAAAAGAAAGGTTTGGCTTCCTAAAGTACACTCAATACCAATCATAAACTAGAATAAAAAATATATATTAAAGATCCCTGTCAGACATACCATTTTTTAAGACATGAAAATACTTTGAATAATAATGTGTTTTGATATAGTTTAATAATACTCCTCATCTACTGAAGAACCCAGAATCTATAAATATGCAAATATTTTTTATTTCAAAGTTTGAGATAAAAAAAAAAATCCACTGAAAAGTCTGTTCTCAGTGTGTTTGCACTGAAGACTTCAGACATCAGACTCACACTGTAAATTGTATATTAGACCACTGATGTCACAAAATCATCTTAAACTCAGATTAAAGATGAACAAAGAAAAGAGACTATGTAATTTTGAAAGAAGAATTAACGAAACCTTCCTCTTCGAAATGAAATAAACTTCCGCTGCTACAACCCAACAATGTTAGCAAACCTTAGAAAGATATTGCTGTGAGAGATTACTGAGCGAGTTCACAGATTTTCACTCGGCCTCAGTCAGGTTGCTAAATAATTATATCTTTAATTTAAAAATAACTGACTAGAGAATTTGGGGAAATTATGGTTAAAATGTGTTGTGCCAGTATCCTGTAGCTGCCACTCTTTCTTTGCTCTGTTCAAGCAAAAGTAGAATTGTTTCACTTCGAGCAGTAAACGAAAGTCTTATATTTCAAGATTCACTATATACAGATTGAGAAAACCTCAGCCTGAGCCAGCGCAAGACTCAAAAAGCCAGTGTGTATAAGCCCGCCTGTATAAACATGTCAGTGTGACACAAGATGGCACAGCTTCAGGCAATTGGGCAAAGCTGCTGATTTTGGCAGCCATCCTCTTTTTAAACTATTTCACTGCTGCCCCGTTACAACAGTCAGCGTGGCAACTTCCTGCTACTCTGTGAAGTGCTGTACAGTTGTTGTTGAGGCCTGGCACCCTGCATGTTTTACTGACAACAGCAAGTTATTTACACAGCCATGACACACAGGACTGGAAATACCAGCAGCAACAAACACAACTCTTGGCAACAGATTGGTGTTGAGGAGTGCAGAACCAATCGACTTTTCCTTGTTACTGTGGCTAAACTAAAACTAAAACTAAAACTTCAATACCTGGCACTTTCACCACTTGGTAATTGCAAACCATGATAGATTTACACATTTTAAACATATGTCCTAGAGGAAGGGTAGGTCACCTAGCAATTAGAGGTTTCGACACAGTTATGACATGACGATTATGCAACAGGTTAAACACTCACAGTCACAGCCATCCTCATTTAAAAGTTTCAACACATGCACGACGGCTGACATACATTCTCGTTCGCCTCTACGAAGCCGCTGCTGAAGGGAGTGTCTCCGTAGGCCTGCTGCAGTAAAGGCAGTACAGACTTGGCGTACAGCTGCCACCACATGAGCAGGTAGTCGGGGTGCAACTGGCTCAGGTCGGGGGACAGGGAGTGACCTCTGACCTCGCCCCTCTGCGCGTCGTAGGAGTGGTTCCACGGCTTCACCTTGCCCAGGAAGTGCACCACCTTGGCGTCACGGCCGTACCTGTGAAAACACAGACAGAACGTAAGGTGGCAGGAAAGAGAGAGAGGGAAAAGGCTAAAACATGCAAACCCACTCTTGCTGATGGCTGTTAACATTACTGACTAGAGAACATGGAAACAGTTCCCCCCTTATAATATCAAAGGATATAAGGTTTATTACAACTTGGTTCTAACTTTTGTAGGTTTGGCCATCATTTCCTTCTGCCATAATAACACTGTAACCACACAGCACTCGCTGAAGGCCTGTTTCGCCAACATGTTCACTTTGCTATGTACGATAACGGTCTGTGATAAGCTCTCATTGCACAGGAAACTGGTACTGTGTGCACAAAGGTACCACAATTATGGTAAATCATACCAGGAAGTCTGCCAAATACGTTTGATACTCTGCCTACTCTGGTTTATTTCCCCCCCATCTGACTTCTGTTTATTGATGTTCCCATGTTCCCGACTCACATTTGAATAAATAACCCAGAGTTTTCGTTCGATACTTACTGAACCAAACTCCTCAGCAGAGAGAAAATACAGAAACAGATTTAAATAAAACAGAAAGTATACAAGTGTAGCTTCAATAGCTCCTCTTTTTGAGGCAGGTTGTAGCAGAACGTGTGCTTCCCCTAAGTTTCAGCAGCTTCTTGTAATTCAACACCCACCAACAGCACACACACACACACACACACACAACCTTTGAACTGACCTTGGATGAGCTTTATGCCTCCTAACACACAAACACCCTTAAGTTTCACAAGGAAAGCTGGATACATTGTGTGTGTGCGTGTGTGTGTGTGTGTGTGTGTGTGTGTGTGTGTGTGTGTGTGTGTGTGTGTGTGCTGTGTATAGGTGTGTGTGTGTGTGTGTGTGTGTGTGTGTGGTGTTGTGTGTGTGTGTGTGTGTGTGTGTTTGATGTTTGGTGTGTGTGTGTGTGTGTGTGTGTGTGTGTGTGTGGTGTGTGTGTGTGTAGGTGTGTGTGTGTGTGTGTGTGTAGGTGTGTGTGTGTACTGACTGTTTGAAAGCTGGCAGGTAGGAGTAGATGGCGATACTGCTGAGGTTGTAGATGAAGGGAAGGTGTTTGGCTATATCTGCTGTCGCCCAGGTGTTAAAGAAACTGTTGAGAACGCCCTGATCTCCACCTGCAGACATGGACACACAAATTCACTCAGAATAACAGTTTTAGACATAAAGTGAGAGGTAACTAAGAGCTTAACAGCTCTGGTTTGGCATGTGAAACAGCACAAACCTTCCTTCAGGATAGCAACAGTCATGTTGAGGAGAATGATTCTGTGTTTTTGCTACAAGGGAAGGGGGACTTCAAAGACATGAAACAAGCTAATAAATGAAATGAAACTTATTTTAGTGGACTACCTGCCTAAAAGAATTGATATTCTTTCACTCTAATTTACCATATCTGCCCTCTCATCTCTAGCTGTTGAAATCCAGACAGACACACTATCGTACAAACCTGAATGGTCAACACCACACACACATACCGTACATTCCCGGAGACTGTGTCCTTTTCTGACGAGTATAAATAGAAACTGAAAAGTGTTGACAACGTTGTGAGAGGATGCTGCACACAGCGAATGACAACATATGGCGAAATCCACGCACACAACAGATGGCAGATGTATGTGACAGTTCGCGGCAGGCAAAGAGCAGGGGTGAGCTGGGAGTGTGAGGACAAGGTTAGTCCAAGTCAGGGTTAAGACAAGGATGTGTGTGGGGTAACAGTTTATGTTCTGTCATTAAGTGAAGGAAGATTCACTTTAAGGGCTATATTTATTGTTTCTGGTGTTCACACCAAATGCAAAAAGGTACTGATGCCGGTGAACCAGTACTGGGGGCTCAACTGATGACCACAAAATGCTGGCTTCAAAAAACACCAAGATCGGTTGATAGGATTGGTGATAGGTTCATCATGTAAAAAAACAGCGTTTTTAGCCATCAAATGTCCCGCTCAGGATGAATTAGGATAATATCCCCGAACTTATTTGCAGTTATGACCAAATACCTTTAAAAACATCCCCGTCTGCCTCATTTGTACTTTGTGTTCAGTGCTAATTAGCAAATACTAGCATGCTTATATGCTAAATTATAACGATTTATGAAATTTATACCTGCTAAACATCAGCATTTTAGTGGATTTCTACAAGAATAAAGCGGCTTTACATCGCTAACTTTACTTCTGCTGCACATTAAGGTTTATAGAGGGGTGTGTTAGGGGGTGTAGCTGCCTTGACAGATAATATAGACCTCTAGAACTTCATAACTCAATTGCTGATGATGGTTTTTGCCTGGTTATGTCAATTGATTTACTAACAATTTGCTCAAATTTGAATTTTCATGCCAGGATTTAATTGAACCCCTGAAATCTATAGTGATCACACACACACTCTATGTGGTGTGGGTTATACAAGCTATAGTAAGAACCCATTATCAGTCAAGACCATAGTTCTCTCTTCCTATCTCTATGCTTAGTTTTCTGCTTGTTATCAGAAGCACCGGTTCTCACTTCTGATGAGCCCTTGAGCGACAGAAAAAGAGATAAAAACACTCAGGTCTCACCGTCGAAGCTGCCGTTTTCACTGCAGAACGCCAGCAGCTTCTCGTGTGTCTCATTGGACGGTCTGAAGACAAACACCCCAGAGTTGAAACAGTCCGGCCAACCAGGATCTGGAGCTGCAGACAGTTCCTCTCTCTCAAAGAGTTCATCTATATTTGACAGCACCTGAATAAATCAAAATAAATGTTACTCACTTAGTCGCATACGTTTAATTTTAGTTTAATTTTCTGAACTACTAGGGGATGCTTCATTGCAGCTGTGGATGTTTTCTCCTATTGTCTGGTTTGTTTCTCACCAATGTGTCCGCATCCATGAACACACACTTGCTGTAGTGTGTGAGAGTCCAGCAGTGCAGTTTGGTGAATGTCACTCCCAGGTCCGGACGCTTCATCAGGGATAGATGAGCCGTATCGCCCGAGTCCATAACATCCACCACACGCACCTCATCAAAGATGGAGCGTAGTGCATCTCTACAACGCAGACAGTATGACTTATGTCAGCATGTGTTGGAAATAACTAGTGTTTGAATAAAGCAGTGGTTCTAAAACTTCTTCTAACAGAGACGTGTGTTACCTGCAAGGTTCTGCAACATGAGGCCCTATCAGTGCGACCAGCTTCTTGGTTGTGTTGTGGTTCCGTAACGACTGGCCGAGAACCATCGCTCCCTTGGCGTAGTTGTCTGTTGTGGCGAGCGTCACAAAAGCTTGGTCTGCTTGGAGAAACAGAAACATCCAGTTATCAGCCTTATGTTTGACATGAATAGCTCCTAACGACACTCAACAATGGATTATTTCTGTATAGAATTAGCTTTGTCGAGAACATTTCTGTTACAAAAAGGCATTGCGTTAAAACTCTCAAGGTGTCAAATATTCATTTTAGAACAGAAATCTGTGACATTTTTGGTGAAACTGACAGCAGCTATGGGCTCCCAACAGCCTTCTTAACTAGTAAATAATGTGGGGGAAAGAAATGTATGAAGTGCAACAACATGTGTTTACTCGGGTTTCATACTCTGACCTTTCAGTGAGGCCGACGACAACCATGAGAATGTGGTTAGTTCATAAAACCATCAAACCCGACACATTATAGTGAAATCTTTACAGCTTTTTCTCCCCCCAAATAAGGAAAATGGGATGCAGCCAAACTTTAAAGCTCAGATCACCATAACAACTCGCAAGGAAGGGTTACAATGAGATACACCAGTCGGTTCATGGGCAAGAATCTCTCAAACAGCGGGCAGAACGCCAGCAGGGACTGACGGGGTTAATGAAAACCTTCATGAGAACTTCTGGTGCTCAACTCTCATGCACACTGCTTTTGTTGTTAGGCTTTATATTATGTGCTACACTGTTACAGTAATAAATGACCTATTAATCACACTGATGCTAAGATAAACAAATTTACACTACTTATGTAAATATACAAATGTCTCTATTTTTATTAGCTTTAAAGACACTGTCCAGCACTTCTTTTCACACGTACTATTAAAGTCAAATAGAAATGGTAAGAAAGCAACATTTTGTGTACTTTCCACTATATAGTTGTAGCTCAAACTAATGTTGCCTCGGTACAGTAAAATACATTAAATCTATCAACCCTTTTCCCACTTTTCCTCCATAACAAACATGAACTAACCCCTCAAATCCACTGCCCTGTCCTGTCTATGCTGTATAACCCACTGCACCAGTACCAGTATGTCCAATTCCTCTGCAAGTTCAGTGTCGGATGAGTCCCCCCCCCCACATGCATACATTAACAATAGCAGGGGGCACACTGTGTTGCTGTTCCAGTGAAAGCAGGCCCAGAGCCAGCAGACAGTATTCATCAAGCTGAATGTGTGTGTGTGTGTGTGTGTGTGTGTGTGTGTGTGTGTGTGTGTGTGTGTGTGTTGCAAGAGGCGACTGGGAAACCCGACCTGGGGACTCAGTGTTGTACAGTTGCTAAGGTCTGTTTCAAGGAACAATAAAGCGACTATCAGAAGAGTTTAAGGCCGGTCTTGACTACAAGGCAGTACAGGAAGCATGTGTTGTGTTCCCACAGAGTCACCTGTGGCTTCATATAACCACCTGACTCATTACACCTCTGGCTCTGACATGTTTCAAAATGATTGAAAGTCTAAAGATATTTATGAGTTTCACAGACAGACTGAAAAATATAATGGAGAATCTATAAAAATTCAAATGTTGAATTTATTATTGAATGCAAATGAAATAGAGATCACATGTAAACTATAAGGATTGTTTCCTGTATGTAACTTTATGGTAATATGTTACTCTGTATTTCTGCCTTTGGACACTGTTATCAGTTAAAATAACTTTTATACTCATGTTTAGTAGTAATACACTAATAGTAACAAAAGCTGTGTGGGCCTTTCCGAGTATAAGAAAAGGCCACACACTGTGGCGCACGTAGACACAGAGAAACGGCTAGTCAAGTTAATTAAAGACCCCACCTTAACCCCGGAAGTTAATAGCATCCTCTTTAAAAAATAAAAGCATGATGAGCTATGGAATAAAGTTGAATCAATGAACTGGGGTTTTTCGATTCTTTTTTTTTTTTTTTTTTTTTTTAAGTGCACTGATCAGTAACAGTGGAAAAATAAAAATCAATTCCCTAACTGTTGGCAGGGCCTGATTAACCGTTTAGGGTGATCTCACTGTTTCCATTATTGACTGATAGGGCTGCAACTGTCATTTTCATTACCAGTTTATCAGCTGATTGATTTTTCTGATTAACTGTTTGTTCTAGGAATCGTTCTAATAGTCAATAACGTTTTCCCAAAGATTGAGGTGATTAAATTGCTTATTTTTTTACCCCAGCAACAGTCCATCATCCGCTATCATCGATGACTAAGAAAACCAACATTTGAGAAGCTACACCTGTTTATGTTTCACAATTTTCAGACAAAAAACTCCATTAATTAACTAAACGTTTCAACTCTAAGTTGTAATTTGATTAAGTGCACATGTATTTAGAGATATAGGCCGTGTAAATGCAATATAAACTGAACAAATAAAACTAGATTTGATTTCAGGGCTTCTTTACAAGAAAAAGCCTCAAGATTATGTAATAATGCAGGTGTCAACATACAGGAATAGACATTGTGGGAAATATGTTCATTAGCTTTCTGGCCACGACTTAGATGAGAGGATTGATAGCACTCTCATGTCTGTGTTGTAAATTATGAAGCTACAGCCAGCAGTTTGTTTTCAGCCTTTGTGCTAAGCTAAGCTAACCAGCAACAATTTAGTGTACATGGAGAAATCATCAATGTTGGTAATGCAATGTCAGTCATTTCAACTTGCCCACTTTGTGACACCAAGCTGTGCAGTGTCACAATCCCACACTTCCACTCTGACCTTACTTCAGCTGTGTGCACACTTATTAAACCTCACCAATAGAGATAAAGTGGTACCGCTGTAAATGTTACAATAAATGTTACAATAAATGTTACAATAAATTAGAGAAGGATTTGTTTGACATCATTTACAAAAAGCGACCAACACTAACAAGATTACTTTTCAACGGCAAAATTTTCCACTATCTTTATCACATTTTTTAATACCCACATTTGAGCTTTATCGTGTTTATGTCATATATTATTATTTATTTATTTTAACCCTCAAACATTGATTGAGTAGACCAAATAACAATCTAATATAAAATGAAAAAAATCCGCTCAAAAATGATTTTTCTTCCTCGTCAGACCTGATTCTCCTTCTCTTATATTGTAGCATTTTGTGTTGCACTCAAAACGCTTTAACTTTGAAATACGTAACCGGATGTGCTCTTTTTTGTTGCCCGCCAGCTTTACTGTGGTCCAAAACCGCTGCAGCAACTCATCAAATCAAACATCACAACCTTTGAAAATGTCCACAGCAGCTACTGCACCAACATTAAAACCTCATCCATATAAGTAACCCTATAAGTCCACATCCGAGCAGCAGTGAGTGCTGCAGCCGCTGTTTTCCTGCAGCGTTTCATCAATTCGCGATATTTTGGGAGAACAGGTCAGTCCGCGCAGCCCCGGTCCGGTCCGGAGTGGGGCCGTGTTCCGGTGTCAGGGAGGCGGCTACGGTGTGTCCGGAGGGAGCCCCCGGTGGGTCTTACCTGACATGGTGCGTTGAGTAGAGTCCAGCCGGAGCCCGGGGGTCGTGATGGGGCAGATGAAGGGTTTGCACTGCGAAGGGCAGAGCTTCAACAGCTGGGAGCAGTCCAACACAGGAATTAAGCCCCACATTTTCCGGGTCATGTGACCAGTGACAGTTCACACGCCCCCTTTTCTCTCTCTCTCTCTCTCTCTCTCTCTCTCTCTCTCTCTCTCTCTCTCTCTCTCTTTTTCTCCGTATCTCTCTCCGTATAGCACAGAAAAAATCCCGAGCATTACACACTTTTTTGGCGTATATTCTGCAGAAATGATACTGAAATCACATAAATATACAATAATGCATTTCAAACGTTATCTTAGTTGGCTTAAAGTACAAAAGTTGCATGAAAATTTACCAAAAGTAAAAGTGCTCATCCTGCAGAATGGCCCATTTCAGAGTAATGTATATTTTATTTCTGGTTTTTAATTATTGATGCATTAATGTATAAGCATCACTTTAATTCTATTAACTACTTTACATACTGCTGGTTTGTTTAATCTATAAATAATTTTCTGATCTTTGATTTTTTTGAATTAATAATCAAAATCTATAAGTAACTAGTAGGCCTGTACAACTACAGCTGTCAGAATAATGTAGTGGAAGTGTAAAGTGGCATAAAATTGAAATACTGTATAAGTAAAGTACTGAAATAAATGTACATTATATTCATAAAGCTACAGTCCTGAAAGTTTCCTATAGTTTTATAAAACCCCTAAAACTAAGGAAAAACAAGAAGGCACCAAAACTGTAAACTCTTTGCCCTTTATTATTGTAATAAGGCCTATATTAGAGAATAGAGTTATTTTATTCTATGCATTACATTTGTCCACTATATTTTCATTTATTTTACAACGCTCCTATTTCTTTAAGCTTATAAATGTTTTTATTATTGTAAGGGGGAGAAAGAAAATTCCAGAATCAAAACAGGAAAATAAATTTATTTAAAACAGAAGGTATGCTAGAAAATAAAAACCTTCCTTACTTCAGTTATAATAAATTGTTTACAATGTAGGCCTATATATATATATATTTATATATACACTGACAGGGGGCATTCTCTTCACATACTTTTCCTCTCTATAATGTACATTTAACTGTTTTATACTTTTACATTTTGCTGAAAATTCATATGTATTTTTGTATGTGCATAATTTTGAAAGCAGGACTTTCGATTGAAGTAAACGATCTGAAGACTTCTGAAGATTTCCCTGTTTTTGACCTAGCCAGTTTACAATAGTTGCATCAGAAGATTAACAACTTAGAATAAGAAATTAGTTATGTCTGATAACAATCTGGTTTTAAAAAGTTGTCAGAAATTAGAGTTAATATATATGATGTGTGTCCTGTGTACTTCAGTTTAAAAAGTGAACGGCGTCTGCAGCCACAGCAGCAGGATGAACTTCACGCTGGTCTACTTTTCTAACAAAACAGGAAGATCCTCATTACTCCTTCAGCTCGTGTCAGCACTGCCTCTGTGTGGTCAAGACTTCACATTGCAGCCGAAAGAAGCATTAAGGCCTCAATCAAACACTTGATACTTGGCCTATAATCTCAGGTTCATTTGGACTCTGGAACCTAAATGAGAAAATAATTTAGTTTATCGACTTTTACTGAAATCAGGTAGTGATTAAATTATCATATTGTGTTATTTCTTCACAAAATTCTGTTGTCAAGATCACAGACTCCAAGCAAAATTGCTTTAAAAATGACTTTTTGACACGATAAGGGATCTCTTTACAGACAATATGAACAGGAGGTTGATTAAAGCATCTAATGATGACAAATGGATTCAGAAGAAGTCTTGAGGGCTTTTAAAAAGATTCTTCCTCATTTGTTTCTTCCAGTATTTCTCACATTTTCTCATTTAACATCTGGATTTCCTATGTTTTGTTATTGGAAATGATTAAGGCTCAACTTAAAACTAACCTGTGCAACAGAACTATCATATCCCATTAAATTAAAGGTCTTTAACTCCGGTAATAGAAATACCTGCATCCCTTAAACTCTGTATATGTTTTCAGACTATTTAGGCCCTTTTATGTGTGTTTATGTAGTATGTGGTTTTCAATCTATTCACCTTTCTGCGCATGTGTTCTGAGGTGCCAGTGAATAATGCAGGAGGCTTATGAGAAAGTCTTTGGCCGGCTGTTTCAACTTTTACACCAGCAACAGATCCTGGCTCAGGGTCCACAACCAAAACCGTGGCTGGTACATCAAAGGCTGGAGGCAGAGCGCTTGCCTCAGACCGGCGATTAGGAGCAGAGGGTAACCGGAGAGCACCTCAGAGTCACAGAGTGAAACTGAGCAGATCAGGTGTCTGAGATGATGGAGTCCCGGAGCTGTGAGGATTCAGAGGCGACCTTTAGATTCTGTGTGACTTTGTACTAAATAGACATAAAAATGTCTTTAGTATGTTTGTCTGAAATAAGAGAGGAACAGAGAGGTCTTGTGTCTTGGTTTCGGCTTGATTATTTTTGAGCAGCGGTAGAGGTGAAAGGAGAAGCAGGTAAAAACAGAGAGGAAGGAGGGGGGGAGCGAGGGAAAAGGGGTTAATAGAGAAGGGGATAAGTGAAAAGGAGGGGCTGGGAAAGGAAATAAGGAGGAAAAGGGGCCAAAAGTGACACTTAGTCTGCAACAAGGTGATTTTCTACTTGGACTGGCCCTGCTCCGAACTCTAAGCCCTTCAGCCTGCCTGGGACTGAATGTAAGCTCCTTACTTTCCTTACATTACACTTAGTCCCTAACAACTTTTCTGCACAATGTAAAGGTGGCAATCTCTACTATACTGCAACTACAGAAAGATGTTTCCTGGAGGTTTAAAGTTTAAATGACACTGATTTAAGAAGAAAAATGTATAGAGACAAGGAGGCAAAATATAGTATAATCTGCTACTGTTTTAAAGCATTGCTGTGTGCTTAAATAAAGAGTGATCGGTGCAGTAAAGTGGCAATGTTGCTGTGAAGTGGGGCAGTTTAATCTAAGTGATGCAGTTGGCTCTGTGCCTCAGGTTACAGAGCATTGTGTGGCAGTGAGGCAAACTATGCAGGCAAACACAGGCCTCATGTTTTAAACATGTTTGACAGAAATGCAAAATGCGGACATGGTCCGTTAAAAAAGCCTGTAACGAAACAAATTGTGAGACAAGAAAAATTCATCCTAAATACATTTCTACAAGATGCAGCAACAAGACAGTGTATGTTCAGTAGTTATGATTTTTTGCTTATTAATTGTATAATTATTGTTAATTGAAATCCCTCTTTAACTGATGACTATTCAAAATATGCCCTGAGCTGAGCCTCACAGGTAGCACTTACTTCTACACAGAAGTAAGTGCTACCTGTGTCGCAAAAAATATGAACTCAAACAATTAGACATTTTTGCCAGTACACTTATTCTATTTCTTGTTGGGACTTAGATGAGTAGATTTTTTTTTTTAGTTTGTTAAATGTTGTAAGAGCCAAATGCCTACTGTCTCTCTAACTATTAATGAATAATTTTATATGAGAATAATTGTTAAATATAGCTATTATTTCATTTCAGCTATGTAAAATTAAGGATTTTTGCTGTGTACTTGGGGAATGCGAAAGACAAGTAAAAGCCTTCAGAAATTGAAATTTGAGCCAGTTTAGTTAAGGGTTGGCAAGGTTAGCTAATATTAGCATAACCCATAAACCATGAATGACAATTTAAGAGGTGATGCTGGATTATTTCTTGTGCAGGATCCGTTGCCAGTGTAAAAAAGCCCCCACCTACTGCCAAAATGTGGACATAGCAGACTCTGAATTATTTGCCACACTTGTTATTAAATTGTCCTTGTTAGTGTCTTCATTATAATGAATTTATTTCTTGATTTATTTCTTGATCTTCCATCCCTATCTGCTATCCCTCACATTATAATTGTAATACTGTAGAAATGTTGATGCTTTCTTTTCTGTAGGTTTGTAAGTCTGTAAGTCAGATTTATACTTTAACTGCAGATCAATTGCCCTGAAGAGACAAACAGATTAACCTCTTTCTGTGGACAATAACATGATGACACAGCTGAGGTGTTAAATGTTAACTGTTCAGACTACGCCTGTCCCAAGGTGCAGACAGGCCAAAGGTCCACTCTGTGCCTCTCCTGATCGGCTCCTCCTAAGAGAGATAACCAGCTCTCCAACCTCTCTGAGATCCAGCTTCCACTCTGCGCCGATCCGAAGCCTCGCAGAGCTCTGGAAGACTCGACTCCTGTAGCCAGTCCAGAAGGATCTGCACCGGCTTATAACGACAGGGCAAACAGGAAACACACAGACTCTTATGAAGGTACCCGTCTCTGTCTTGGTTCCGTGTTGTCTTTTCCTTTGTCGTTTCCTCAAGCAAAGAACCAAGGGGATACTTTATTGTAAAATGCTAAGACCTCTGGGTTTTTATGGGGAACCTAAGGTGTGTAAATGTGCCTGTATGTTCATGAATAGTCGGTGCAGACAGTGAGAAGTCACAAGGCTACCCTGGACAAATTCCAGTATATAACCTGACACTTCCTAATTGTTATTCTGCCTTTATCCCGTCTCTCGCGTCAGACTCAGCCTTAGTTATTTCTGTTTCTGTTTCTGATTCTCTACATCTAAGTAAATGTATGTTTGCAGCATTAAACAGGTCATTCATCTGAGTAAAAGTACCAATGCGACTGTTTAAAATGTATCTTATGTAAAAGCCCTGCATTCAAAATCCTCAAAAAGTATTCTTTGTGCAGTAAAATCTGCCCCCTGTGACTGATAAAGTATTATAAATCACATTATTAGATTGTTATTACTGATGCATCACTGTGTAAGCATCATTTTACCATTGTAGCTGCTCGAGGTGGTTTCCATCAGGGTGCCTCCACAGGTCACCAGATAAATGATTGTGAGACGGTTTATGAGGAAAGAAGAGTACTGCTACACAAATTTGAGTTACTTTTTTAAGACTCTTCTCTAATCTTTCCCCTTTTTTTGCGAAGCCTTGGATAATTTTAACTCTTTGGTAAATTTATAGGGGAAATGTCTTTTTGGTGCAACTGCTAACAACTAATAGACATCTGAAACATGACAAGGAGCACAAACTGCACGCACGCACTTTTTGTAGTTTTGAG